TAGGATTATTTTAGAAATCGATATGAGATTCAAAGTGTAAAAATGTCTAGTACTTTGAATGTTTTAGAAAATTATTCGAGATAAAGATGTATGGAACTACTGAAAATTACTTTAGATTCCTTTTCCTTGTTCTGTAAATTCTTTAATTGGAATATGAATGCTGCTGGAAGTTTGAACATTTTCACAGGACTATGATATAAATGGAACTTTAAAACTTTTTTAAGTGTTACAGTGAAGTTTCGTTATATGCTCCATAATGTCAATAATATTGATTTCCCCGCAACATCCATAATTATTACAAATGTCAATATAACGAAATATCTTTTATGTTATGTAAAAATAAAATATTTTACTCAAATTTACATAATACATCCTACTGATTTTTTAAAACATCTCAGAGTTATGTTAAGTTAGGAATACAAAATAAACAGCGACTGTTGTCGGCTTAAAAGTTTTTATTCGTTTGTTAAAATATCGATAACAAATGTACATAGAAAATAGAACAACAGTTGATAATTCAGTAAAAAGAATTGAGAACTGAAACGAGTCAAGCCTGTGCTGGTAAATGTTGCAAGAAAAGCACGTGAACCATCTGTGCCAGAAGACACCCCCTTTATTATGTACGTGTATATACTTTCTCTAATTTGGACATACCCGTTTGCACATACAACACAGCTAGAACTCTATATACCAATATCTAATTAGTGAGAAATATTTTATTAGGTATCGACTGAACGATTAACTGTTGATCAGATTGCTTTCGAATTCCAAAACCGATCGGCGCACACTTCACTCTTGTGACGAAATTTGTCGCCTGGGTAGAGGAATAAATAAAAATTATTTATTACAGGTAAATTTATGAGCAAATTATCGACGTAAGTTAAAGAGTAAATGTTAAGACGGTACTGAATTGCAATATTTAATTCTATCAATGTACACACGATTTGTCCTGAAACTTTCCTAAATGAAATTAAAGCAAAATTCGTTCGTCTGATATCGAGAATTATTATGACGAATTATTTAAAGTAGCTCAATTATATGGACATATATTGTGTATGGCGATTATGCAAACTTTGGAAACATCTCTGATACTTCTTCTTCAAGGTGATAGAAAGAGAAACGATTGAAATCTTTTTTACGGATCATACGCGACTGTAAACTATTTTCTCTTTCCCAAATTCAGAAGAAAGATAAAGGAAAAACAGACCAATATAGTTTCGAGCATTCGAAAGTCTTCAACCATTTCTCGTCCCGACATTTTGAAGAAGCAGGAGATTTGTTTCTCATCGTGAATGGTGTATATCTTCAAAGAAACCCTATTTTAAATAATTACAGTGAAAACATCAATATCTTACAAAGTATTGCTGTCCTTAAATTCAGTTCGGTAACTTTTACGACAGATTGTGTATTTCGTATTACTAACAATAAGAGACCGAAGTAAGAGCCGATTAATAATACTCAGCTGCCTATGAAGTCCATCGGTAGTGTAACCCTTAACGAACAAAAACCAGCTGCGTAAAAGTAGCGTAGAAAATCGTCTACGGCACAGCTTCGTTTAATTTTGATCACCGCTTTTACAGTTTAATTTATCAGCGACGTTTCAAAATGTACAACAGGATGGTCGTTGGAACTTGCATACAAAGTAAATACGTACATCACGTTGCGAGTTCTATGTGATGCGTATGTAATAGGTACACGTATTATATGTATATGTATATAGGTTTGGCGTTACAAAATTCAAAATCCTATTGTAAATGTACAATTATCGCTGCCTCAGCAATTGTGAACGTACAGAAGCCTGAGAGTACTACTTGTGATCTAAGAGATATGCAGCATTGATTCGTGAAGATAGAACCGCACAAATGTACGGTACTGCCTCTCTAATTGTCATGGCGCCCCCCCCCCCGCCCCGTTAATTATCGCTTGGATATCTCCCTCATTTTGTAAAGATACTATGTCAGAAATGGACAAACTGTTCATCTAGAAAAAATTTTTGAAATAAACAGAAGACAGAAATTTTCTTTCGCTATTCCTTAAATATACATAAACAATTTAATTGCCAAGACACAATAACACAGGGTTAGTTAAAGTTATGTTAGGACTTGTACATAGTTCACGTAAATGAAATGAAATTACGTTTGACTGAAATACGTTTTTCTTGCGAGTGTCGACATAATTTCGACTAACCCCGTATTCCACTTTGTATAATTAAAAAATTATTTGACAATTATTTAATAAAATAAACATTGCGAAATTTCACCCTTCTCTGCTGAGTGCCAATTCGGAAACGTACTCTTCGAGCTTAATAATAATGTTATGGTATTTCCTTTCTTGTTCTTGATGTTCCACTAACAAAGCGGGTAATCAAGAAACGACCGACTTACTTTAAAATTAAAGAACGCTGCAGGAAGACTGAACCGAATAAAATACATTTTAGGGAATTACATCATCGGTGGGTGTAACACAAGTTGTTTTCACACTAACACGATTCCGGCGACTGAAAAAAAAAGCGCTCGGACAACGATACATCGATTCTGCGCCTTTGAATCTCTCCTACTTTTACATTTAATCGATTTTTACATTTCTTTTAAAATACAGTATATGTATACGTTGAAACTATAATATATACAGGATGTCCCATCTGAAACTTTACACGCAATTATCTCTCGAACTTTTCGTTACTCCGAAGAATGTTCCAAGCAGAACTTAATTTATTTCGAGGGGGACATCTTACGATTACGTTGGTCACAAGTCTTATCTAGGTGCATGTGCCTTCGAGATTTCAAGGTGATCTTTGTTTTTTTAAACAGAATATGTTTTCATATAGGTAAACGTGTAGCCGATTCCGTGACGAATTCATTGATCTATAATGTTGGTCTCTTAAGATTTGTGAACACCACATGTCTCTTTCGAAACAAAGTCAGTTTTACTTCAAACATTTTTTGGAATAACAAATACTTCGGGAGATAATTGTATATGAAGGTTCAAATGGTACGTCCTGTATATATGTATATGTATGTATAATATGTATATCCTACAAGTAACGACATTACGTTACCAGTTTCGTATATTCGCTTTAAAAGTGCACGTTGTCGTTACAACTTTGCATCAATATGTATATGTATGTATATGTATCTATATATATATATATTTACGGGTCACACGGAAAGAATCGCGATGTATACACAAAAATATATTACATTACGTTACAGTTAGAATTTCATATACACAAAAGCGGCTTATACAATGTCACAGAATCAAAGATAATCGTGTTCGCCTCATGATGCTAAACTTAAGACGTTGAATTACTCTGTCGTAGGACTCGCACAAATTATTTGTAAATATGAGCAAAATACACGGCCGGTATCGATTGACTTGAAAGCTTGGAACCCATTCGATGGAGTTAAGCTTGTTTTTCACTAAAAAAAAGAAAAAAACGACTACAAAAAATGTTCTTAAGAATGTAAGCGTAATCGCGTGAGCAGTTCATACGAAGGTAAATCCTCCGGCAATGTAATACACACAGGGTATTCCTGAGTTGTGTGGCCAAACTATAACAACGCACTTTATCGATTCTGTTCGTAAAAAAGAAAATGTTACAGAAACGTAAGTCCATAAATGCATCCCTTTCGACTATTCAAGTAAGAAGATAAGGTTTGCATTCAATACGTATTATCATTCTTGTGCCTAACTACAATTATATACATTCTACTAAATTATTACAACGATAATTATTAAATGCATTACATATTTTACCCATTACATTCAAACTGCATTTCTTTTTATAATACATACAGAATTGTAGCTGAAGAACATGTACATGCTTTTTCTTTTCTGACTTTTGTTCAGTCATGTGAACTAATAAAATAGGCTGGTAGATTTTAACCAAGCAACTTGAGGAGAACCCTGCACGGTACGCGCTAAGAAAGCTGCAAAATTTCAAGCTGGAAGCTTCTACGCTTTTGTATAATTTCGTATGTAATACATTTACGTTCGTTTCGATTTCCCTTGTTTCTCTATCTAGGCGCGCGTGACTCCTTAAACCTCTAAGAACTGTATAGAATACGTACCGCAAATGTAACTTATAAAATTCTAAAGCGGGAAACACGTGTAGCAACGTCACTTCGACACATCCGAAACTGAATGAACATGAAACGTGGTACATGAATTCGAATTTCCCGTTTTGAACTGAAACACTCTCGATTAATTACCGATACGAAAATATAACAAAGCGTCGTCAAACGCTGTAGTATGTATACGTATATATATGTATGTACGTTATGTATTCTAAACACTTGTCGATGTGTTCATGGCGGTCTGTGCAATAGCCAACACGTTCGAACGGAATATCGAGGTTATAAACCTTTATCTATAGTTTAATGTACAGTTGCTTGATAACAGGCTGCACTTTGATAATTACACTTCGTTACAAACGTCCGTTAAAGCGTATACCGTAATGCTTTCAAGACATCAGTGTCGTGGTCTTACGTGTTCCACGATTCCTTCCTTCGTTAGTAATCGTTATTAACCAACATTTCATTTGCGCATTGGAACGAAGAAGATCGTGAGTCGTGTACTGTTAATCTCACTTACCAACCTGTTGAAAGGTCTTTATTATGACGGACGATTATTGTACGGTTTCACCCTTGACTTCGCTTTATTCTCTCAATCCTTATTTCTAGTGGCTTTAACGTTCCTTTTTTTCTATTTCCCATTATTATTTCTCACGCTTATGCTCCTTCTGCTCCTCCGGCGACTCTTCACGTACGGCCGAGACCATTCTTAACATCAGGATGGCTAGTAATTTGTCTAAAGGATCCATGAAACCTCGTTGAATCCATTTTGGTATCGTTGTACGGGCATGCGAAAATCCTAGCTTCTGCAATATGAAGTCGATTCCGTAGGGCTCGATGCTTTTGCCAGCCCACGAGAGCAATCTGTAATGTGAAGAATAGAAATTCATGAATATGATATGTAATAGTGTTATTTTTAATACGATTGTAACATTTAATATTAATGAGAGGAAAATCGTGAGACGTTCTACTACCTCACAGTTGGTTCTAAGTGCCACGTTTTACATCTGTACGATCTCCAATCCTTTATGAACATTTCCGTTGGATCGAATTGCTTCCGTTTCTTGTCGTCGTCCGAGGTGGTCGATGTTGTACCGGACGTGCTGGCAGTGGCAGCACTTCCGCTTCTCCTTTCCTGAGGATCGGGACTATGTGCACCCATATGATGCTACGTGTGAAAGGATAAAAATATAGCTGATATCGCAATTCCTCTAGTCTACGAATTTCTTAAGAAATTGGATAGTAAACTTACCACTTTTTCTTTCACATATGAGGTAATCAAGTCATGCAGGAAGAAAAAGGCCTCTGCATCCACAGTAACAAATATGTGGTCTTCGAACTCTGTTATGAAGCTACATTCGACTAATGGTTTCTCACCTGTTAAACAAATAGATGTTGTACAATATGTTCTATAATGGTGTATCTTACTATATTTAGTAATCATTACAGCATTGCATCTCTGTACTCTCTATCTATATCTAGTGAGATAATTTTTCAGTGCAAAAAGTTTACTAAACTATAATTGTGCTGTTAGTAATGTGAAGCATTTACTCTTTACTGACTTTTTTTAACTGAAAAGCAGGTCTATTTTTCGATTATACTACTGTCACCTTACATACAATAATGGTTTGTGTATAAAATATTTTGTTTATATAGGCGGTAGTCGTTTTACTTTGTGCGCATTATACGCGATAAGTATAGCATGATTATGCGAATACAATAATGGTAGTATGTGCATAACTGCATACCCAATAATTTTTAATGTTGTTTCAGCAATTTCTAATTATTCCATGCAAATTAGTAAAGCGCTTGAGAATGAAACACGTTCTACAGATCATATAATGCTGCTTACCAGACTTGAAATACATCAATTTTCACACAGTACTTACTATATAAAATATGCTTAGGTGCTCCTAAAAATATAGGAAGAAAATATTTGCAACAATTCAGAGAGAAACAGTTTCTACTTATCAAAACTGTGTATTTCACACTTGTGTTGTAAGCAGATGAGAAGAAAAGAATATATAAAATATTTTTTAACGTGTAACTGTAAAGTTGCACACAATTACGAGTAACAAAAGAGACATGAAATCGATTAAAAGTAAGTGATAATGACAACAAAACATCATACTCACCAATGACATCTGGAGTTTTGGCTGTCTGAAGATGTTCAGTTTTTAAGTATAATTGCAACGATGGTAGCGCAAATATAACTTCCCTTGCATGAGAATGTTCCATTAATTTTCCAGAGGTTGTTGATGTACTTCTTCCACGAGTTACATTGCCACCATCAGATGCGCTGTCCATTCGTTCTCTTTCAACAGTTGGAAACCGATCTACAGCTACAGATTTAAACAAACAATTGATATACGGTTACTATTACTAATTTTCATGTACGTGGAATAAGTTTATTAGCAAATGGAATATGTCCGTTTCTATATTCGAAATTTAGAAATAGTCAACGTTAATCTAGCCATTTTTCATAGTCTATTATTTTCGAAAGCGAGACTATTAAAGAGCATTCTCAATATTTGAAAAACATCTTGAATATACAAAATCTGTTCATTCGACGTATTATATACAACGTACCATCGATTTCACTACTGGCAAACGCATAGTGAAACCATTCTTGTAGTGATTTAAATTGTGGCGGAAATAGGACGCTACGACTTAATCTACAAACGGTAGCCATTGAATGATGCCGTGCGTGTTGTTCCTGTTGTTGGCCTAAACTGATGGTTAACGTTTGTACAACATGCACATCACATGTATTGGGTGCTGCAAAATATGTACTTGTTACGTAATTTTCCATACAAATAAGATTTAAATAGACTAGATAGAATTCCACAAACTTCTTACATTCAACACTTGGAATTTCTTGCGCTTCGGTAGCGAAACTGATACACGGTTCCTTCAATGAAAATATTGCCCAACTTTTACTCTTAAAGTTAATCCCATGGAAGCAAGCTAGACTAATGTTGGAACCGCGAAGCTCCATTGTACCACCGAGTACAGTCCCCGTTGATGGTAAAGAGAATTTTAAACTTCCCAACTGAAGACCTGCCACTTGGGCTAATACTCCCTGCCAATGTCTATGATGACGAGCATCTGCTGTCGTTGCTTGATTTACATTACATGGGCCTGTGGTATATAAATTAACATGTTACTATATACTCTATTTCAATTATTTACAGCATATAATTAGAATATATATGTATGTATATATGTTACGCTTTACCATCACCGCTGGATCTGTACTTCATCTGCCTCTTCCTGAAGCTACTGTTATTCACTCTTTGATGCCTTGGTTGTAAAGAACTGAATACCCGTTTGCTACTTTTGAATTGTTGATTCGAAAATTCGTCTAATTTGTAGTACATTTTTAATAAGTCCGCGGTTGTTGATTTACTTATCATAATTTGTAACTGATCCCATCCTAAATCACCGTGCATGAAGATTATCGCTGGCCTGAATATTTTAATCCAACAATTACGAATTTGTTTATTGAAAATGTGGACAATAGAAAAATATCTATAAATACGACCTTCTGGTTGGCATAAAAGCATCTCCACTATTACTTCGATTAATTTTCCATTCATCTCTTAATATAACGTCCAATGAGGAAATTCTAGACATTAACACGCTAGTTCCCATATAATCCAATCGCAATTCTAGAGCGAATAGTTTCAAACCCAATGTGTGATCTGGCTCTATTCCTGGCTCTTCTCGAATGTGTACTATAAAAATGTATATATACATGTAATGCACCCGACTAAATGTAAATATTCATTTTTTAATACAAAAGTTATTACAAATGACTCACTGCATGTATCAATTTTACTCAATTCTATAGTACCACCCACGATACCACCCTTTGCATCTAAACTGGACCCTTCTAAACCGATACCTATGTACAAATTTTTGTGTCCAGTACTACCAATGGACAATCTTCCATCAGACCTGAAATCCTTTGTCATCCACGTAACATTGCCCATCACATTACTCATGTTCATGTGAACATTTAGACGGGTGAAATTTATAGCAAATAATACTAATGTCTCCCAAGCAGTTTCTCTTAACTTCACTTCCGAGGATGTTTGTTTGTCAGAGGTAAAACTCCATCCTCTGCCAATATCTAAGGCCAAAATGAATAATTAGAAAGAATGAAATTAAAACCGAGAAAAGAAAATACTCTGTTGAATACCTTTCAATCGTGCGTGCCTGGGCATATCGCTTTCTAAGCTTAATCTTAGCTTGTCTCTGTTCAATGTCGGACTTCGTTCTGGTGCACTTTTCGACAGGCCATCGGTACCATGTCGTTCATAATGCTTTAACAAAGAACTACCCATGGCTGCTTCTTCTTGATTCAACGAAGGACTACCATCACCTTCGGAGTACGCCGTGCCTGAACTTAAATCGCCCAGAAATAATCGACGTACTATACTGCGTCTATACCACGCCTTTGGAAATGCCAGAATTTCGCTTAACCTTCGCATATCATACTTAAACGAGGCAGACCCGATATCAACAATGGCTATAACGTTAAACAAAGAACACGTCATTATTCAAGAATCTGTACCTTTTCCTATGAATACACTTAATTATACCCACTGGAAAATCGTATAACCGCGCGACTTGTATCAGACATCTTCTTTGACTGCTCGCTTTGGAAGTTTAATTTTCTACTTCTTGCAATATGAAATTTTACAAACTCAACGTTGATACTCAGAGAATCTTTCCTTTCGCTGTCTGACAGCGGTGACCACTGGGTTTCTTTCAAGCCTGTCTTTTTCCCACCACCGTATGGATGGAAGATATAAATTGAGAAATCAGCGAGACAACCGGTGACGGATAATCCGCCGATAGCTGAACTTGATTCTTTTCCTGTCGACTGTGTGCCAGGAGATTTGTACTCTCGAAACTCTATGAGCTCTTCCTCTGCTCTCTTGGACGAAAATATTATATCAAGGGACGGCAATTGAAGCATACATTCTACGCGTGAAACTGGCAAGCAGGAAAACCTGAAACAATAACAGAACATGGTAAAATAAGGATTCGATGAAGGATGATCAGGCCATTTTTTATTACATGCTCGCTCATTAGGAGAGTTTTTAGTAGATTTTTAGTAGATAATATCAAGATATCCCGCATATCTGAACGTTTAATAAAACCGGTTCCTAACTACAAAATCAATGCTACATAGTAAACATGTCAATGAAATTCAGGACCTACCTGAATGTAGAGGGTTGCATATGAAAATATACTATTACATCGACGGGAAAACTCGCGTAAACGTAATTGCTACTACTTGCTGCAGTGGCAGCCCAAGATGTGCTTTCCGTGTTCTCCAACGGGAACACCGGATTCGTTTGTGCATTGCTGTGGAAGTTCGTTTTGCATGGTATTGGCTCTAATGTTTGCTCTAAAAATTCCAAAATATGTGGACTTATTATAGTTTCTTCCGGTATGCTTTGGAGTGTCATCCACGCAAACAGGCTGGCCTTTTTTGTGCTGGATTTTCTAAGCGCGGTCGTTGATGGTGTAGGATTAAGCATACTATTATCGGACGAGACTCGGGGAGACATAGATTCTTCGGGAAGCGTTTTAGATTCATAGTGCACCTAAAAAATTTAACCATGTTATTTAACAAATAACATTATTAAAAGATAAATCTTGTCCACGTCTTACGATGAAAAACATTATACCTTCACATCTAATCCGGGAATATGAAAAATCGTCAAGTCCACTAAGGGTACGTTCGCATGTTGCAAATACCGTAATCGGGACGTGCTCGTAGTCGATGATTTTTCTTTACTACTTAAATGTTTCCTGCTACTACTAGGACTACTTGGTTGAAATTCGAACGTGCCTCCTGAACACGATCGCTCTTTCTTCATTCTACTCATACTAAAAAAAATCACTTGTTAGTCACATACAATATGTGAACCATTAATGTTGAACTTACATTTTTATTTCATCTTCCCGTCCTGTATCTTTTGTGTGCAGTACACATTTACCACTATTGATCAGAACTTTTACGTCCAATTCGAAGTCTATATTAGGCTCTTGAGCTTTCTGAGGCGTTATGTATGGTGATGACGTTGAAGAGGACTGCTCTCTCCCAAATGAATCAAGCAATGGAGCGCTATGAATGAAAACAAAAGAACAATGATAAACGTGTTTTTCTAGTAAATTTCAAATTTTATTACTATACTCACTTTCCCTCCATGCTGTCATAACTCGAAGTGCAGCTGATGTCTCTGTTCTTCTTTCTCAATTCAACCCTTTCCCCTTCAATGTCGATAGTTTGTGGCCAATCTAACTCTCCCTCTGGTAAGCTCAGTTCTGATCCAGCACTAGGTAGTGACGATTGTCTATATAATTAAAATGATGTTATTTACTGAAAAATTTTACTAAATTATCCAACATACCTGCCCATTGTATGTGTGTCACTAAAAGTAACGCGTGGCCCACCCAGGCCCCTTACTCGAAGAGAAGCAGATCTAGAAATTAATATTTATTATTGCAATTTTTATGAAACATTATTATAATCAAAGATTATTCAAAAATAAGAATCTATCGTACCGGCTTGGACCACTTCTAGGACTACTTTCATAACTCGCAGAATTAGCTGAATTGACGTCCATATTCATATCTTCGGGACTTTCTAATTGATTTTCAAGCGTTGGTGATGGTACAATAAATGACCGTGATCGGTTTGTGTTTGGTTTACCACCAAGTCCCAATTTACCTTTGATTCCTGACGCTTTAACTGACTGTCTTCGTAATTTTTGAATCATATCTCTACATAACATACAAAAAAAGTATTGTACTACTATATTAACATGTCTTTACATGTTCTATTTGAACATTCATCAAGATATATCACACGGTTGTACCTTCTAAAATCTTTAAATATCATAGCTTCTAACTCATGCAAGCGTTTCATTTCTTGTTCTATAGTTCCGTGAGAAGCACCTAGTGATCGTAGATCATTTATAATTTTCGCCTGTTCATTCATTTCTTTCTCAATCAGTTTCGATCTTTTTTTCGCATCGAGTGTCGGGTCAAAGACAAACGCTGGTAAACTGTCAGTCCAATTCTTTGACTTCTTCATTAATATACTTTCCTGTAAATATTTACGTATCGATTAGTAAATAATACACAAAGTGTCGCATATAACTAATCTATAGAAACGTAAAGTAAAACGTGGATACTAAAACACGAACAAACTTTTTCTTATTTTTAATACATTACCGAATCAATGGGGACGAAAATGTATCATGGGATAAAATAAATATAATTAAACCATACTTTTTTTTTAACCTGGCTAGTACTATTATCTGGCTGATCCGCGTCGTCGCTATCGTACTCTGCAGGTACGTGAATATCGTCTTCTTCAGAACCAGTTAGCATTGTTAATGTATGGCCAAGTGCAGACAGTTGTTGTCCAACGCTAACATCTAAATGAATATCAACACCTTCCATTTGCCACTGTACATTCAAAATCCACTTAGCATTATCTGAAAATGATTAAAATATATTATATGTAATCAATAAAAGATTATTGTAGTATAAATATATTCTTTTTACCAGACTTATCCGGTTTTTGTGCAATTGTTCTACTGCAAACTTCGTAAGTGCCTTCAGACACCATGCACAAATTCATTATGCTACTATCAGTCGTGTCTGGTTTCCAATCATCCAAAGAAGTCTCAAAATCTTCAGCAAATCGTAAGCATAAACCCATAAACCTATGCAACATAATAGAAATATTTTAAGGCCTCTTATAAAACATATGAAATATTGTCTGCTTCATTATAAGTAGTACAATCGATAGGAAAATGTGTAAAACTACTTGTTACTCAATTGTACCACTTGGTGTAAAGCACTCGTTATAATAAATGTAACAACAACACGATACCTTCCTTTACTAACTAAGCTACCACTGCTACATGCCGATATGCTTGTATTTTCCAACGTCACTACGACAGCATCCCTTGATTCACCATCGTACACTCCTCTATTCATGCCCCAGGTAGGCGGTAAAGGATTAAGTGGCACGCAAATACCCATATCATCTACAGTCAGTTGCAAAAACAGCGTTCCCAAATGAGGAGAGCTAAGCTGACTTGTTATTTGGCCAAACGGAACCTTCTCAAATACTTGCTGCGTAGCAGTTAAAACTTCTTTATTTAAGTTTGCTCTTTTCTCGTTCCAATATTCATACGCGTTTTTGTAATTCAGCCAGACAAGTATAGCTTTATCGATGGCGACCGGTTGGACATATATTAACGGGCGTTTCAACGTGATTAATACAACTTCTTTATCTTCACCTTGCGCCATCTCGTCTTGGAAGGCGTTCCGTAATCCCACTCTAGTGTTGAAAAATGCAAACTGCTGGAATTCCGGCTCTGCCTCTTCGAATAAAACATTTTTCAGCAACTGACCGAGACTTAAATTAATGTCAACTTGTGCTTTTCCAAACAGTTTCATGTATGGATTTGGTTGAGTAGCACCAAAAACATTTTGCACTCTGTTAGACAACTGAAGTTCAACAGCTCCAGTTTCTAATCGTACCGCCGAATTTGTTGGAGTTGTTGCAGTCAGTTGTATTCTCTGTATATAATTGAAAAAAATGTCAGACACCTTAGAACTTATTTAATTTAGTGAATAGTAAATATTAATGTAAAAACATTAGACCTTGATACGCATAATTAATGAGAATAATATCCTTTTCACAGGTGAATTATTGGGTTCTTCGTCCTCTAACCATAAAGGTACGGGTTTCTCCCCCCCGTAAACTTTCTGTACAACTTCATTCACCTCCTTCATGAATACTTTTTGCACAAATACTAAGTGATTAAGAAGATCCGTGGTCAAAGAATGTACAAATACACCAATATCAGCAGTGGCACTAAGGTAGCTACCTTGTCTCAACACAACCCCGTCTGTGAGTCACAATAAATTTCATAGAATACATTCGTATTATAAAACGTAATATTTTGGTTATTAAAACGTAAATTGTTATAGTCTACTAACCAGCCAATTTACTATCGTTTATGTTACTATTACCATCCTGAACGTATTCCGCAGACACGTGTACTTTAGGAAGCTCAATACTAGCTTCAGAAGGCAAATTCGCTTCGGTTACTTGAAGCTTTGTTGTGAAACTTAAAGTGTGATGAGGTAGGTCTATGGTAAACTTAGCTTTACTGCCGGTTATGCCAGAACTAGTGACTTGATCCATTTTGTATTGTGCTTGTAAAGATGGCAGTAGAGCCGCTGTTATACTCAAACTTTGAAATATGATGTTGAACTGCATAACAATAGGTTCTAGTAGACTAGATACAACTTGTGGCTTTTCTATGTCTACTTGTGGGGCTGGAGCATAATTATGCGGACTACCAGGTACACCTGGCTCTACATCATCCTGCTGTTGACCTCTGGACATTCTCGAGGAAGTTCTTGTTACTCTGAGTTCCTAAATAAAGGTCATCGAAAATCGTGGCCAATTGAATTACCCATGAATACATGCCAAGAAGAGTAAAAGACGAACCGCTTCACACTTACTTGTAAGGTCGATGATAACTGTTTACTACCCCTAGTCATCATACCGTGTAGAGCTACTGGATGTTGAGGGATATCTATATTCACAGCACCGACAGTCAGCAGACCGCTATTTTTGTCCTTCTGATGCTTACTGATACTAGAATACAAAGCCTGCGACTTTCCCACGGTTACTTTCACAACTGTCTGTTGGTTAGGCGCTACGCCTTCTAATAAAACGATCATAGTTCGACCGATTTGTCCAGTTAAGCTGCATTCGAAACTGGCAGGTCTTGACTTTTTGCAACATGTTAAACTCGCGTGAAGACTTGTTATTTCTGCTTCGAGTTTTAAACCACTGAGAGTAGCTAACCATCTAGTCCTATGTATCCGAGCGACGCCAAAGATAATTAATCTTGTACGTTCTCCTGTAACGATACCTGTAATATATTGTTATAAAATAATTCGAGTTACAGAGAGAACCGTCAAAGTTTAATTTCGTGAAAACAAAAATAATGTTACACATGTACTAACTTAATTCTCGCGGAAGTGGTACAGGCGTTGAGCTATTTTCAGCATTCAAACCTTTTTCGATATCCGCGTCTTTCGTTTCATTTAGTAACTCATACTTTCGACCACTTTTATAGTGATCTGACGCGTCAGCCGGTATTGAGAAACGATGCGTGATAGTCTTAGTTTCTGGTCGTGTGGCGTACAGATCCAGCAAATAGTAAATCGTTTTCCAGCATCGTGGCGTCAGATGAGGCGTATCTTTACATTTATCAGGAAGCACGCAAAATTTATCCAAACCAGAACCACTAGGACTCGCTCCGAAGTTAGGAGTTATTACACCCTCGCTCAAATTAATGTATCCTTTAACACTTTTCCCGGTACTACGTAACTTTTGAGCGAAACTTTGTGGACGAGATCGTATAGTCGTACCAGGCGATGAAACTTTGGATAAATTCGGTTCGAAACTATTGCGAAGCAAAGGAATATCCATTTTTTTGCCACCTAGCAGAAGTTGTTCTTGTAAATCAGATGCTATTAAACAAACATAGAGGTGTTAGATTTATGTTAAAAGATTACGAAACAAACTAATAGTTTGCATGATATTTACTTGACGATGAACCATTTTTGGCCGCTGCATCATTAACAATTAAATTATCGGTTTGTTTACTTTCCGGTTGTTGTTCTTTTAATTCCATTTGGGTTTCCTTAACATTCTGATACATATTACTAATTTGATGTAACAATCTGAGAAGGGGCATATTTACTTGTTGGCTAATGTATCGTATATTTAAACTAAAATTCACAACTGTACTTGTATGCTTTTTCAATTGGCCCCGTGATATATACAAAACAGTTTGTTTTTGAATCATATCATCTACGGTCATATCAGCCATTTTCTTAACGTCTATATCAATACCAATTTTCTCGCATAAAAATGCTGGAGTTTCTGGTGGTATGTCCAAATGGAATTTGGAATTACTTCCCTTCTTTGTTTGGTATTTGCCTCCTAATACATGTATTAAAATTTATAGTAGTGCATTAAGTGATTCTGTTTGTAACATTACATACTGAATACGCACCTTTCTTCTTATCTGTTATCTTCCCGAATTCACTGACAACTATGTCGATACGCATAGTTTCCATACTTCCTACCAAAGACAAGTTTGATCCTAATGAGTCTAAGGAAGACACATTGTTGATGTTTCCAGAACCAATGGCAGAAAGCATTTGTTGTGGCATAACGGACAGGGAAGACAGAAGTGGCTCAAAAATTAAATGTGCATCAAGCAGTCTGAGGGAATCTTTCATTGGGTATAGAAGAGTGCCACTCTGAACATCGGAGTCTTCTGTATCATCTGTTGTCATGGTATTAATCTTTGAATCCTGAAAATAATATTACGGCTCTATATTTAGAACTATATTAAATGAAAGAATAAATTGTACACAACGTATAACAGGACAGCTACATAAGGTCTAACGTCAGAGTCAAATGCAAATTGCAAATACCTTCAAAGACTTTTGTTCTGCTCGAAAGACCTAAGATCAAAGGAATAGTAAAAGTGACCGCTGTAAAGTAAATAGTTTTATACAGTTATTGCTTAAAAGTCGCAATGATGCTTACCCAATTTCCTTTTAAATTGGTTTTATCATTATCCTTTATAAACTCTTGCTGTTTAACCATCCAACTGTACAAATCTTCACCCGTGTTTGAAGGCTTATTGGAATGATGACTCGTTGGAGAAGTTACTTGATCCAAACTTCCAGTACTGTGCTGACTACCGTGCCCTCCACCAGAATAAATACTCGGATTGGAACCAAGTTGATGAGAATGAGAAGTATGAATTTGTGGTGTCTTCTCTTCGCGAAGCGTGCCGTAACCTGATAGAAAATTCTGTGTATATTTACGTAATCTTTATTCAAAAACACAACAATTACTAAATATAAATGATAGAAAACAATGTTAAAGGAATAGAAATGTAGAATAGCATATAAAGGGAAACAAACACAGAATAGGTATCTAATCGAGTGCTACTGTGATATAAGAAGCCAGCAACAGGTATGAAGAAAATAGGGAACCAATGCATACAGAAACATGTGCTGTGATTGAAGTGCGAAGCAATACAAACGGCAGAGAAAAATTAATAGCTCTACAATAATCAACACACTCCAAACAGTCTACAGATTGGAATACCAATTAAACTGAAAGTCCTGTTGAACAATTTTTATTCGGTTCAATGAAGATAAGTAAAATATTAGTTGAAAGGTACTACACCAATGTATAGACTGTTAATTTATGAAGTTTGATTATCTCGCACTTACTTATGTTATTCGGTTCCCGAGTTTGATTGAATAACCCACCACTTGGAAGCAATGGAAAAACAATACTTGCTCGTGTACTAGCAGGCACTTGCGTGGGTTGTAGTGATTTTCCTTTCTTTGGATGAACTACTGGTGGAGAGGGGGAGGTTAATGAATCCGGGCCTGGAACCGGTGTTGCTATAGGGGTTGTGTCTTTCCCCCGAGGAGAACTTACAGGAACCGTCAAACCATCACCACAAATACCTGGTCATTCCATATCAAGCCAAGTTTTTTGTTCAGAAAGCCCAAGATTATGATACGACAGTATGTTTTTTAAAAAAGCGTGTTAAAGTCTCAATGACATTTATAATGTTATGTACAAAATGCACTTTTTAGACTGACTTCTACAGATAATATGTATTCTAAAAGTGTACCCAAAATTTATGTAAGTCAAAGACTTGTATGCAGAGTAAGCTCGCATGATTATTTTGATTGTTCGTTTATATGCAGATTGTATGTGCAATTTAGGATTTAATATGGGTCAATCAGCGTTAGTGTGTATGTATATATTCGATTTATAAAACTCTGTATACAGGTCTAAGATTTCACTAGTATTAATAATTAAAGGGCAAAGTCAGATTATACTAGTAGAAGCAAATGAATGTTTATATAACACAAAGGAGAATTTTTAATAGAATACAGATGCTAATGCTCAAATACTTTACAATCACTATTCCTAATGGCACATGTTACAATGTGACCATATGAAAATGCATAGTAAAACATTAAGCAGTTATTGAAATCACAATGTAAAGCAGATGCTGAAAAGCTGCAGGTGTACTCTGTTCAAGTTTTATGGGACAATTGATAATTCGATAAAAAAAGTATCAGAGATACAGAGATATTGTACCATGTATTTTTAAGTATGTTGTATTGTGAGTATAGTATTTTATGTAATTAGTATTTTGTTTAGTATCATTTATAGTACCTGTAGTTTTGTCTTGCCCACTCTTGACATGTGTATGTTTATTAATGTGGTCCGTATGAATTAACATAGCACATTCATCTGTGACTTCCTGATCATCTACTTCTCCTGCACTACCCTCACCGTCTGTCAGCAAATTTTCCTGTGAATAAGGTAAGTTAAACCGAAAATATTCATCAACTACTTTCGACAATCGAAGTCAAGACACTTTGTTTGACTATTACAAATAGGTAACAAAGTGAACAATCAAGAATTTAAGTTCTTAATAAAATATAATGCGATCTAGTAAATTTGAAAATAAATAAATGTGAGAATAGTTTTGAGGAGAGTTTGTCTTCAGAAGTTTTGAATTTCACAGGAAGTCGTAATATTGTTGCAAAATTTGTGCATACACTGTGTGTAATGTTTTCAATTATATAACATATTATACAAGCATTAGAAAACCTTCACCCATTATAATTTATATCATGTATAGTGTAAATTAAAGCTTTGTTTCACATATAAGTTAACAGAACTGTTCTCTATTGCAAAGTATTATTTTATAAAAGCACGACATAAAATAATTACAATTTGAACATTATGCTGTTAGTATGAGTATGTAACTTATTTCATTAACAAGGACGTGTATGTACATATAATAGCGCTAATATATTATTAGATGTTATAACAAAGTTAGTATTTAGTTATATTATAAAGCTTGTGCTTTCATTAATGTGAAAGTAAATTCTGATTTTTATAAATCTTTTTATAGGAAAGTATTATGTTAGGACTACTTCTTTGCATATATTTTTAAGATTCTTACTCCATTTTAAATCGCAATCATCCTTCAGCACTTCCTTGCTTATTTGCTGAAAAAAAAATGATCTACCGAATTATGTTCCCCAAATGGCGCGTAATAAACTTCTGTATGAAATAAAAAACTTCCTCCATAATGTCGAAGTTATGTTATTAAAATGAATGAAATTATGATATTTATTTGTTATTCAAACTATTTACAAACGAGAAAAATGGAATAATTCCAAATCCAAGATACGAAAAGTTAGAGAAACAATAGTGTTAATGAGTACTTCAGAAAAAATTAATAAGTGTGAAAATAGTTATCATTACTTGCAATAATATTATATAGAACTACATTCCAAATATTCCTAATTCCGTTCATATTGTAAATATTTTAAGTTCGCATAGGAAATAAAATGAGTTCATACCTCATCTGGATCTGACACAGCAAATGTGACATTCAATGGTTTCACATGCTTCGTTTTATAATTATGTTCCAACAACAATGGCGTGTAGAGAACATTTTTCCATTGTCTGCTCAGTACTATAACTCCCTAAAAAAAGATGTTATGTATGAATAATAAAAAAGATAATGTTTAAAGGCTAACTTACCTGACGAAGTGTCGATAATAAAGGTAAATCAGACTCTTTTAAATTGGCTTCGATATTTGTTAGATCATTTAACAAAACATAATTCTGCAGAATTGTACATAATTGACACGATGGATCTTCTTGTAATGTTTTCGCTAATGGAGTCAGTCTCCCATAACGACTCTAGAGTATATAATAAGAGTATTAATATTATTTCTGAACGTTAACTACTTCCTTATACAAACAAAATATATAAATGTCTGAAATACCTTAGCAGGCATATGAATCGCCTGTACATCTAATGCCTCTGCCATAAGACAAGCAACAATAGCAGTCGATCTTCTGTACATAGTCTTAAACATGTGCACGATTCGCACTGTAAACTTATTACTAGGATTCATCCAAGCATTTATGGCTGGCGATGCTGTACTCAATAAATTCCAATCTAGTCGAGTGTAATCAATTTTCCTAGTTATTGGAGTACGCGGAGGCGCTGCGAAGTTAAACCATACTGTTTTCAGTTCTATGATACAAGAAACTGCATTTCCATTCCCTGCTTTCGAAGCGAGACTGGCACACGTAGCACTAGGATTTATTTGTACTCCGTTAGGTAAATTCGTCGATGCTGTTTCCGGTTCAGTTGCAGTTGCAGTAGACGCTGACATGTAACAAATACAATGCAAGAAAATATGTAAATGCATTTTGTAAGTTTTTATTCATTTAATTACGAGCATTATATACCAGCTGTGTTATCTAATTCTTCTTGACTTTTCACGCTATCCGTATAAAATACTTCAGTCTCCACTTTTTTGCTATCGCTTCCATTTTCTCCTTTTTCAAACTGTGATCTCTTTACTACTTTTAATTTGATACCTTCCAAACCACATTCAAACATTATAAAACCCAATCTGTCTTCTCCACTTCCGAGAGTAAATTCTTCGGTAGCCTGCGGGGGGCCATTCTGCTTCTATAATAGATAGGATTTATAACATATTCAGAATAATTTATAACATTCAATAAGAATTACAAAATATAAAGAACCATACAGTTTTGTCTTTGTCGTCCGTAAACTGATGCAGGTAATAGTCTACACACTTCAACGGAGAAGTTATTCTGGTACATGTAAATAATACTCTTGAATAATGAGCAGGTATTGCTGTTATAACAGCATCTTTCAATATTGATGATTCGTTTCTAAGCCTACGTAATTGAGAATGAGCTTTCCCTGTTACACCAATTGTTTAAGTTAGTTTTTTTACGATACTTCAAAAATATACTTAGTGTACAAGAAAATAGAAATTTACCTATATTTAATGTGACTACAATTTCTTCTTGTTGTTTCTCCGAAGTCTCTATATACACTGTTTCTCCACTTCCAATATCCGCAACTACAGCGGCTGTTTGATGGCCAGGTAAAAATGCTTTGCTAATTTTGTTAACCTTCTTTTGATTCGGTAATACAGCTGGCTTATTGAACGTTTGAACAACTTCCCGAGCTTGCTTTCCAATATAAAATCTTCCTGTTACATCGTCAAAGCAAACAGCGAACAATGACACACACGTTAAATCACGAATGTTCTCGAGGGCGGAAAAGGATATGATTTCTTCAACGACAGAAGCTTGTAATAAAGTTATATTCATCTAAAAAGATAACATATTATTATGTTGTATAAAAAATATCATTGCGTGACGTAAAAAAACATATATGTATTATAACCTTCCACTTACTTTCGGTAAAATAATACTGCCTTGTACTTGCGTCATAATACTTTCTTCATACACATTCGTTTGTAATGCAATTTTACCTGTTACGGAAGAAAAAGTGTTAAATAATACACACTTGCGTCATACACAACAGAATAATTTGCATTGTTCAAACTAACGTTTATCGTCACCTTGCCCATTTTTAACATTTCTTTCAGCGGTAGATCTTTTTGAACTAGTTTGCACCTGACTCCAATAGGATAAGCTTTGATCCTGTTTCAAAATATTAGCGTCTTCAACCTTTCCGATACATTCGTGATGAAGATGATTTAAAGTAGTTAACGGATGTAAAGTAGCTAATGTTGGTATAATTGCATCGATGAAACGTTGCAGCGATTCTAGCACCATCGGACTTAACATAATATCTACATCTCCCTTGAATTTCACAATTACTGTTGTACGCGATCCACTTTCGTGCTGTGCGGCTAATAATTCTTCCTCGTTGTGGGTCGTATGATCTTCTTCTCCTGAACATGACAACAACTTTTTTTTAAATTTGAGTCATATAAGAATATTTGTTACAGTTCGATGATTGTCATATATTTTACCTTCCATCTGACTTATGGTCGCACTATCCCAAAGATATGGGTGTGTGGGCGTTTTATTGGATGAATTAGCTGTGGGTGAACCATCTGATCGAGTGATCATTTTCAACGATGTAAATCCTTCAGCGATAGTGTCGAATTTCGGCACGTATTTAACACCCACATAAACTAATCTGCCATCCTCGCTACGTTGAAAAAGCGGTGTAGTAAATGCACTGCTTCCTACCGGTATTGACGATTGACTCCAATTTGAGCAACGCACCTGAAATCGATAATATATTTTGTCATTCAGTTGAGAAAGTTTCAAACTGCGATACACGCGTTCTTGATATTACCTGTGTTAAATGACTAACGTAACTTGACATCAACAGCGGAGAATCAACAATCGGTTTGTTTACTTGCATATGCAAATTTACGAGAGTAACGTCTTCTTGCGAAGATACGGCGGATATAAAACTTGTCGAAGAAACCGAATGGCTGTCGGACGAATCACGTAATGCACCATTTCCGTTCGAATCGTTGTCGTTTTGGAAGCTGGTATTCCGATTTACTCTGGCATTACGTTTCATGCTCATCGTCTGTGGTTTCGCTCTTTCTAAGGTGTGTGCTTTCTCAGACACAGGAACATTTACATTCGCGGAACTCTCTACGATAGACAAATCCGATGAATATTTCTTTTTCATGCTATCGTTGCGCGTTAATACCGAACCAGATCCAACGATAGATTGACGTAAGCTAGACGTACGACTTCCACTTAATCCATGACTTGTATCTTCGTCAGCAGAATAAAAGGCTTCTGAATGGTTTTCCGAAGACATTGATATTGTCCGTTGAACCTAAAAATATAGTCCGATATAGTTAGCATACAACATATCTACAAGGATATAATAGATGTTGGTCGTACCTCCTGCTTTATTCTTTCTTCAGACTCTGATTTTATATACAACGAGTGATGAGAATCGGATACGTTGATACCATCAATAGTTTTCGTAGATGTTTGCATTGATTCAGCATAATTTGTATCTGTAGATACAATTGGTAATGATTGTGGACTGTTTGATTCAAATGGTTCTGCATCTGATGCATTGAAATAATCTACCGCTAACTTAGAATCAGACACACTACTTTTGGGAGCAGTTTCGATTTCAGGAACACTTAAAATGGATTTACTGCGTTCCGTATGTAATTTCGAATCCGAGTCCAATTTTTGAGGCAACTGAGCGACAGGACTCGCGTCAACTAATCGAGAATATGGAACATCTCTTACGTTGCTTCCGCTGTAACAAAAAAATAAGAGAAAATGAAGACATTCCAAATATAGCTAATGTAAAAATTTTAGTCATGTATTGAATCTCTTTATACATCTTTACTAGTAACATTGTTGCGTGTTATGCCTTTGCGCTTCGTACATTGGAAATAAATGTTTCAAAATTAAGAAGTAATTTTTCTATTAAACATGTGTGAAAAGCTTGCAAAAAGCAGAAAAATTTCGTGAGAACAAAATCCCGTAGAAACTTAGAATACATTAAAATAATTACATTGATATACAGCGTAAATGATATGCAGTTTTCATATTTTTATCAGTATGATTCATGTTTCCCCGATTTATCAGTTTAAAATCTAGTGTATGTATGGCTTAATTATTAATTTCAGTGTATTTTTGCAACCATGCAATATTTAGAAAAGCAATTGAAATCATTAAGAAGCCGGTTCAAAGCTAGTCCAAAGATTACCGCATTGATGTATAAGAAAATCTTCTGCCCAGCAGTTTCCGTTCCCCACTGCATACGAATGGATTTGCTGATGCAGTAATTAATTTTGTACTACTATTTTCTTCGATACCGGAATCTTTATTATGATCTGTCACAGACCTTGGACGTTCTACACCCTTTTTCGAAGTGTGCGGTCCATCCTGCGTGGCAGTTACTTTTACTCCTACAACTGGGTAATCTTGTAAAGACACATCTTGTAAGTTATAAGGCGATGTATGAAAAACCAATTGACCATCATGCAAAATGGACTGCCCGAAACCTTTTTCCTTTCCAGATTCATTAATTCTGAAATAAATAAAAGACGGTGTATTTATTTATTGCTCGTATTAAACATAATTCACAGTGATAATATTATAGATATATTACGGCTAGTATACCTATACGCAGCAACGTTGATACCATCTTGAAAATCATGATAATTTGGTTTGAAAAATCTCGGCCCGTTTCTGTTATTTCCAAAAAATGCACATCCACCTGTACAACCACATTTTGCTGACTTCGCGCCGATTTCTTGGGGCCATAGGAACCATAATCGTTTTGTGGCATCATCGTGTAATTTTAAATATTTATTTTGTACCAAATGTAAATTGTGTTCAGGGGTTGGGAGTGAAATTGCAGCTTCTAAAATGACCGGGCCTAAAGCTACCGATCCAACTTCCAACCAGATGTCAGATCCATCGCCTAAAATAAATAATAAATCAGTAAAGTAATAAAGTTTGTCTCCATAGCATACTTTTATTATACCTGACATACGACTGCTTGCATTGTTGTGTGATCTTCCACTACCAGTTGTATTGGTATTACTTGTATTTGCAAAGTGATCAGCTGCCGATACAAATTGTCGTATTAATATTCTAGGTAATACACTGGTTATACCAGATTTGACTTGATGACCATGAAGATTACAAGTTGAAACGCGAATCGGTGATATCCAAACATGTACGGCAGTTCCTACCTCTTGAAAATGCAAATCAACAGCATCTATTGCTATTCTTGTCATTCTGTATTTTATATCCTCAGAACTAGGACATCTAAAATGAGATATGAAGTGTATCATTCTGTTTTAAATGTTAATATTTGCAAAAAATTTATTATATACCTGTAATGTTTATCAATGTCACTATCAGAACATTGTAAAGGAGGAATACCATGATGGCAATGATGTGGTAGATCAGGAGGACGTAAAATATTTTCTGTATTTTTTACCATTAACAAGAACGTTTCCAGAGATGTGATAAGATGATGCAATTGAGGAGAGCTCATTTTTCCAGTTAATTTACCTAACTGCACTTCAATTAACCATGCATATTCCAAAGTTTCTTGATCTAAACTTCTTCCTTCGTTACTAAACATTGCGTGTCCCCTAACTTGCAATGCGCTTAACATTAAATGTCCTTGATTTAAATGACGTTCCTTGCTCGATCGAACGACATTATCAGTAACCAGTGCAATAGCCGGCGAGAGAAGCAACTGAAGTTCTGTTTCTTTATATCCTTTTTTCATTTCGAATCCAAATCGTTCAAGAAGTATAACTGGACAAGGAGGATCGTTTTCACCACAATTTTTTACTAAATGAGCCTGAATATCGTGCATGGTAATTCCGACAGTTACTTCCAATGGCCTATAATCTCTGGGATCAAATGATTTTGATTTTGCATCTTTATCATCTACAGATTCAATACTACTGTTTTGTACATCTCTGTCTTTACTTCTTTCTGCAGTCATAGTTGTAGGATTTGTTCTGCTTTGTTGCATATCAGTAAATGTTTGATAATCACCAAATAAGTTTTCTTTTAAATGTATAAAATTTTTCAACAATGACCCATATAAAACCAATATAGATGGACCTATTTCAAGATCTAAGCTAACTTTGTCTGGAGCTATAGATTGTGGATCAAATTTCTGGCTACCATTTGTTGTCCACTGAAGACCAGGTGATTTTCTACATCGAGGAATCCTCATCGGAGATAAAAGAATTTCTTCTTTTTCTGGAGTCGTAATATTTGCTTGTGGGGTGGGTCCTAGAGGTGGACATGGATGATATGTATAATTTATACTTAATGCCACAATCGGTACCGACCAGCAATCAACCCAGCCCGCACCCTTCTGACAAACGTTTCTCCATTTTTTATTTTTACTTAATTCCGATAGATATATGTGTGATCCATCACGTGTCATAATTTTTGCATTCTTATGCAAAGCTAACAAAATTGTACGACTCGTGTTGACTTCAGGTAAATAAAACGAGAGGTCAACACTTTCACCTTGAATCCAAAAACGTAAAGGTATCGTAATAGGCAGATAGTCCACGAATGGGAGATCGAATGACAGCTCGAAGAATTCCCCACAAAAAGCAATGTGCGCATTTTCTTGATTTTGTGATGAACAATCAATCCAATTATATTCATTACATAACGTGATCAATTCAAATTCTTTTAGTAACAAATTAACCTTCCACGTATAAGGTACAAAATGTAAAATATCAGGTCTGGCTTTACTGGCCCAATCATTAATCATGTCTTGAAAAAATTCTTTGTGCGAATAAACTAAATTAGCAGTGGCTTTGCATCCAGTTAAGTTTAACGTCCATTCTTGGTGATCGTTCCATCTTATTGGATAATGACACCTAACACCAAATTCTAACGTTTCACTTTCAAATAAACTTCGATATTGTAAACTCGTAGTTGCTTCTAAATGCAGTAGTTGACCTGTTATTTTCGTAGTATACCCGTCTTGTAAAACAATCCACGGCATAGTAATTTCCAGATATGATCCAGGTCCTACATTAATGTGAACAGCATTTGTTTCTCTATTTTTGCTAAATAATATATCAATCGTAGCTTCATTTAATGTTGATAATCGAATATCAAATGACTGAACTTGTCTTTTCTCTCCAGTCACAGGGGTTTTTGTAACTTTTAATGACTGATAATCGTTAGGAAAAAAAAATTTGTATAAGTGTTCTCTGTGTCTATCCGCCCAAGGTCCATAACTAAAATCAGTACCCTTTCCACATTTAATATCAATACCCCAAATTGGTGGCATAGCCTCTACCATATCCCCATTTACTAATTGAATCATTTCTGGGTGTTCAGGGACAAATCCAGGTTCATCCATGTAATAATAAACTTCCATATGGTTTGAGCTTAATACAACAAATCCTTCTCCCATATATCTAGGTGGATCATCCACCATACCAGTATACTTTGGACTAGGAGCTAGAATGACTTTGAAATTTTCTGCTTTACATTTCGTAAAATGCATGAAATGATCATGTCGGGATGCTGCTGGTTTCGTAGAATATACAAAATGTGCTTCTTCTACAGTTATTGACAAAGTTGTTGGAACTAATCGATTACCAAATACCAGTCTTCCCTAAAATAACAGAATGTGTTATACATGTATGCATATTTAGTTAAAAAATTAACAGTCAAACTAACCGTGCAGACATCTAATTTAATAACAGGTATTAAATCTCTCCAAGTTCGAGCTATAACATGAGCTTCTTTTTTTCTAATATTATCAACATGTCGCGAAACATCCATTGCATTTATTTGCTGGCGAGTTTCATGAGCAGTATTACTAAATGACTCTGCATCACGATCATCGATATTAACAGTATGATCTTCTTCATTGGAAAACATTTGGGGTGTAAGGCCAAATGCTTTTTCTAGTTGTGCATATAGCTGACAGCGATTATAAACATGTAATTCAAAGCCATTTAACATGACTGAGAGTCGTGTATCGGAATGTGAAAGATCTAAAAAGAAATGTCCTTTTCCATTAGAAACAGTTTTAAGAAAAACAAAATTGAATACCAGAAACGTATAAATAATCAGTAACAATGTAGATGTCCATGTTATCATTCGATATAAATGTTATGTAATTATATTTATCATATTATATAGTACCTTCGGATACATCTTTGGGAACATAACTCCTCCACCATCTGAATATAAGCCATCCATCCTGAACTCTGAGACTATAATCTGTTGTGATATAAACTATATCTCTAAACATTATTTTTCCACTTAGTGCACTTAGAGTAAAAGAGCCTGAACATAAAACATTGTGTTGAAATTCAATTGTAGAATACGAACAAACATACATTATAATGAGGCAACATTATGTATTTCAAACACTCACCTACTTTAACATACCCATCTCTAATAACAAATCGATTTAATAATTTTGTCAATATGTAACCAATGACTCTGCTATTATAATAAGCTATATAAATAATCCAAGAAGTGGCAGATACTAATGAGCAAAGTAAATATATAAAACTACTATCCATCTTAAGGTCATCAAGGATGACATGATCGGAATAATTCCAGAAGGCTGGTTCAATTCCAGAAAAAGATGGAACTGTAGCATTATACAGCTCATTCTCCTCCATGATGTCTTTCTTGTAATTATCAAATCAAGAACTGTTACACATTTTGGTGTTCAACGCTAAAAAAATACAAAGGAGTATCCATTAGATAGATATAAACATTGCTTAAAATCTATATTTCTTTAATCATACAATCAACCAATGCATAATCCTTAATTTATCATAACAGTTAATTATTATTTTCAAACTTTACTATCTCAGGCAAATTAAAAAAAAAAATGTATTAATGTCCATGAATTGCCATCTAAATGATGAAAGGGAAAACTTGAGTATGTAAACATAACCTACTTGGTAAACTGTAATTAAAACATATTTTTTTTAATTTATTGTTCCGTTATGTGAAACATTAAAATCCATTTATTGATTTTTATTATTGTCAATACTGTGACTATTTGACGGAATATTATTTAATCTCCAATAAAAAAACAAAGGACATCTTATAAAGAATATATTTATTGCTATCAGCATTAACAAATAAAAATTATGCTTCGTTCTATGTTTACTGATAACTTGTGCAATTCGAATGGTTATCAGCTTATTAGTGAGAGCAAAATACACAGAAAATGTAATGCAATCGAAACGAACTTTTTAAAAAAAATACTTTATTAACAAATGTCAAGTCAAACAAATATGTTTGGCTAGTTTACCTTTATTTAGTACTTATATAAGAATTGCATTCAATTTTTGTTGTGTCACTCATGGCTTAATGTTTATTAGTATATCAGTTTTAATAGATGTCATAGAACTGTCATCGATGGACAGTAACACACATTACACACATAACCACTCCATAGTTAAACTACTGTCATTGACTACAAATTTGTTAGTAATGAAACACAATGCTGTTTGCTGACGCTCTGCACATCATTGAACACAATTGTGTACCCGCCCAAATAAATTGTGAAGTAAGAAGAAGTTTTCACCTTGCGTGCGCGAGTTTCAAACGAAACCAATAAGAGTATTCCAAATTTAGTAAAAGGATTCATATTACGTTATTATTAAAATGTTGTTAGTATTATACATTTACGTATATTTGCTCACGAGATTATAAAATAAGTATTGCATTGCTATTATTATTCATTAGACATTCTATATAGAGTATCTGCTTATTTAAATAACTTGCTTGAACATCTTATCATTTATCATATATGTGTCTCTCTGTTGCTTTAGACGATACAAAGATGATAAACATTCTATTTAGTATGAAACTTGATTGAAGTAATAAAAAATACGGCAGAAAATCTTAATATCTTTCAACTTCGTTTAGCAGATCCTTTAAAATATCATATTTCCCCAGGAAGTTTTAATAGAAGATGTTGGTCATCATTTTGGTGATTTTTGCGACATAGTAGTTTATATACAGCAATTTACAGCAGTTTACGGGCATTTACGGGTTTTTATGGTTGTATTGTATATACCTATCCATTACAGTGATTATAAGCAGTGTGTTTCAAACATACTTTGCAATGCAATTATAATCCTATATTTGTAATTATTATAAGAGAACAGTTTATTTCATTATATGATAAAATGCTGCTGGCTGTATTGAAATCTGTATTTGGTCATGACGATTTCAAAAGTGATATTCAAAAACAAGCAACTACCGCTGTTTATAAAGGTTGTATAATTGTTTCGGTAATGAACTACATGTTGTGTCTGTTAAAACTCATCACTGTCAGTTCTTATGTTTATAAACAATTTTCATTATATATTTGTAGGAAGAGATGACGTATTTGTGTGTATGCCGACCGGAGGTGGTAAATCATTATGTTTTCAATTGCCAGCCATAATGAAAGAAAATAAAGTTACAATTGTCATTTCACCCTTATTAGCTCTTATGAAGGTATGTCATGAATCAATCAAATGGTTCACAATGAATAGAATATCTAATATAACATTAATTTTTTATTGCAGAATCAAGTAGACTTTTTAGTCAGTAAAAAGATAAATGCAAGTTCATTAAATTCAAATACATCTACTAAGGAAAGAAATGCAATAATTAAGGATTTGTCATCTAATTCACCGAAAACTAAATTATTATATGTTACTCCTGAAATGGGAGCGCAGCAGCATTTTCAAGTAAGTTACTCTTCTTTCATTGTAAGTGTAACAATGTCATTATTTGAAAAAATATAATTAAATAATTACCAATATCTTGTTATAGGATATGATCATAAAATTAAGGAAAGCAAAAGTATTAGCTTATTTTGTTATTGATGAAGCTCATTGTTTGAGTCAGTGGGGTCATGACTTCAGGCCCACTTATAGACAGTTAGGTATATTTAAAAAATTATGCCCTAATATTCCCATAATTGCATTAACAGCGACTGCTGCAAAGGAGGTAAATTTCAAACTGTCTTTTAAAATGTATTTGAAAATTGTGTACTATGCCATGCATTATTTACAGGTAAAAGATGATATACTTCAATGCTTAAGCATGAAAAATCCCCTGATATTTTCAGTCCCTGTGTTTCGGCCTAATCTTTATTATGATGTATGGTTCCTAGAAGCACTTGACAAACCCTTTGAACATTTAAAGGATTTTATTTTGAAAGCTCTTGGTTCCCAAGATGCATCTGTTCTAAAAGTAAGAGTTGTCCATAAGATTATACAGTGGTTAATGCTATACACTTCCATTATAAAAGTCTATAAAATTAATGATTTCAGGTAAAGAAAAACTGTGGCATTATTTATTGCAGGAAGAAAGAAACAACTGAAGTGATTGCAAATAAATTATCTAAGTCTGGTATAGCTACTTTAGCATATCATGCTGGTACATGTCAATTATACTTTATTCTTTTATAATCGTGGCTAACTTAGTGACATGTGGAAATGAATAATTCTTTTTGTAGGTTTAAAAAATAAAGAACGTAACGAAGTTCAAAATAAATGGACATCCGGTGAAGTGCCTGTAATCGCAGCAACATGCAGTTTTGGGATGGGTGTGGATAAAGGATCTGTTAGGTTGTGCACAGAATTGTGTAGCTAGTGTATATGTTATTTATTTAAACTTAATTGTGGAACTTATGTTATAGATTTGTTGTTCACTGGACAGTCCCCCAGAATGTAGCAGCATATTATCAAGAATCTGGTAGAGCAGGCAGAGATGGCAAGCCAGCTTTCTGTAGAGTTTATTTTAGTAACGAAGAATATGGACCCATTGCATTTCTTATTAAAGAAGAAGTTACACAGAAAAATACAGAACTTGTAAAATTAAGATGGAAAAATTTTGAGAAGACTGTTTCGTATTGTCTTGAAGTAAAGTAAGAGTCATAATATTCAGATTTATGTTATAAATGTCCTTTTGACATATTCTTATTTAATTGTTTTCAAATAGATGCAGACATGCAGTTTTTTCAAAATACTTTGGGGATAGACCACCACCATGCAAGAACAGATGCGATGTGTGTGAAAATAAAGATGCCGTTCAGGCAAGGATATCGCAATTTGAAATGTCTCACACCAAACGAAATAACCGTAGTAGTAATTTAGATAGCATAGCATTGCCAAAATACGATGATTTGTAAGTAATATAAAATGATATATGATGTGTGGTAATATTATTTTTTAATATATGACTATTTAAATGTATATAGAGGAGATGAATGCAGTGGGCAGCCAATTTCAAGAGAACAGCTCTTAGCCGAAAGTAAACGAGAATCAAAAGAACTAATCGAGAAACAATTTGCTATTCGCAGAAATATTAATAAAAATGACGAGGTACGAGTATAAATTTTACGTTTGTTAATTTTTTTTACGACCTTTGCAATTATTTCAGATAAAAAAGCAAAATCTTAAAGATGCCAGACTATCCCATGTATGTGCGGCTGAAAGTACTGATGTAAAAATCAAGGGTTTGACTGTTCAAGTACGAGAACACTATTATATTCAGTTGAAATCAGCATTAACCGATAACTATGAAAAAATGTGTGCAGAGGAACTGCTACAGGAAAAAGATATGCATAATATAGCGTATGAACTTGAATACAAAGCATTATCTAACACAAAAGTTGCAAATAAGTATAAGTTTGATATGTCTAAACTGGTATGTATTTTATTATATTCGCATACCTTTTTAATATGTTTCAGTGTTTCTAGTTTACATACAGATAGTTACATGTTATTTACTTTTTTAACAAATAAAGATATCTTCTGTCCGAAAATGCACCAGCAGTAATACTCTTCACGAATACTTGCGTGATTATAAAGTAAGTAATAAGCAAACCATAGGAACGCAGAGTTCCAATGATATTCTTGTTAGGAAGGATGAACAGAGGGGAAATAATAGTAATTTAGAAAAAGGTCAAAGTGTACTAAGTAAGTTCTGCTGTAAAGATATCCGTGTTCCGTCTCAAGAATCAAGTGCCACAAGAAACAATATTTTTCCTACATTCAAAACCGCCTTAGAATTGAGAAATGACGATATAGTAACGAAAACAACGTATACCACTAATAAGAAATATTTATTTGATGCAAGTATTTTGAAAGATGATAGTGAAGATATTGACGTGAGAGAAAGGAAAGTAATTAAGAGTCCTGTTGATTATAGTGACAGTGTAAATACTGGAAGAGACAAAATTGTAGAAGAAGATAAACAAATCATAGAATCTCACAAATTCAATGGTTTTACGTGTGCTCGGAAGCTCCACGAGGAACATAAAGTGATATCAAAGACTCAGGGCAAGAAATCAAGAAGGTCTTCGCAGGAAGCAAAGAAAGAGCCAAAAAGTAAAAATGCATCTCGTACGACTAAAACAGTTTATGAACAAATTTTGAAATCTGCCAAATCAGAAACTAACGATCTAGTTAAACAAATGATGTTTGATGAATCAAGTGTAGCAAATGATAAAAGTAACGACGATATGTATGTTACTATGAGCAATACAGCAGAATTAAGAAACAAGAGAAAACATGAAGTTCTAGATTTATATGAGAACAATGTTCGTACTGAATCGACAAAAAGAGTGAAGCTTAACGAAGAAAAATTATCTGCGATTGATTGTAAGAAAATAACTAATTGTCGTAAAGAAATTGGTGTAACCAAAATTGTTGCCGAGGAAAATAAAAATGAAAGCAAAAATATAAAAAATGATTTGGTGTTATCGATAACAAAAGATGCAGATAAAGAAGTATCAAGAGATGAACGTTTGGTAACTAAGAAGTCAGAAGGACACAAGTCTCTTGACGAAAAACGTCATAAATCGAATCGTACAAAACATCAGACAGATAAAAAGGAAAAGAAAATGGTACCTGCAGATAAAGCAACGCAGTTTAAAACTGCAGAAGTTCTGAAATCGTACTTAATGAAATACTATCCATCCAAACGTATACCCGACAGAACTTCATTTTCAAAAACTTGTAGAGAAATGCATTATAGGATATTGGATCAAAAAATATTCGGTAACTTATATGTTAATTACGTTACAGTATTCACTTAATATAAGTAGCATATAATGACAATTGTTTTCAGATAAACAGGGAATACAGCGATTTGTTATAAAATATATGACACAGAATTAATCAGAAGTATCTAAAGTTTTTCACCGATAAACATTGATATACAATTGTACAGATACATCTATAAATGTAGAATTACAAATTCATTACCTATCTATTTTATTTATTGTATGTTATATAGATATTTTTTGTATATAAATGTCAATTAACAATATTTAAAAGTGAATTTTTATTTCCTGAAATATATTTGTTAAAGCTTCGAATGACTTTTTTATGTTTTATGATGGAAGTATATGAAAGATTTTTATAGGTTTAAAAATAAAGTATTAATGTAATATAATTTTATTAAAAATATTATTTGAGCAATTTTTCGAATTATTCACATTACTAATATTTCACTGGCAAGAATTACACTATTCAAGAAAGTGAAAAATGTAACAGTCATGATACATATGCACATATGTCTTATTAAATACATTTATTCTTATAAAATATATCAAACATTCAAACAAAGGAAACAGAAATCATTACAGAACTTTTAAACAATGTTGTATGATTGTAATACAAATAAATGTTGAAACTATATAAGTCGAGGACATGTATTTATTTTCATTTTGAAAATACTGTTTCCTTAGTTGATCTATTATTTCCGCAAGTTCAGGCAAGACTGAAAGTTTTCAAAATATTTCTATTTAATGAACTACTTAAAAATTAAAAATTCGCATTAGAACCTTATTATTTCCAATGCAGACTTAGCTATTATACATAATTTGAAAGTTACCTGTTCTTTAGATCAATACAATCGGATGAGGAATTGTAATGCTAAAAAACAGTTGATTCATAACTATAGTTACCTAAGTACAATATTTACAAATATTTACTTTCATCGCATTCTGCAATTTTTTAAATTAAGTTTGAAAGTTTGGGTACTACAAAACTTGATCTATTTATTAATGCTTGTAATTATTGTTCCCCATGTAATAATCCAATCATAATTTTATACAATTGTATAACAGACATGATACTTTAAGAAAATGATTACTCATTATTGGCATGAATTTAGTTTTAAGGTGGAGTCAATTAACTGGTAATTTCAATATAGACAAGTAACATTGAATAATCTCACGCCTGTTAATAAAAAAAAGTACGACGCTTTACATTAAATAATGCTTCATGAAAAGTTTACGAAACATTTCTTATAAATAATACTTTTAAGGATTTACTACTAACAATAAGATACATGATTATGGTTTGAGCATATGAATGAAGTAAGTCACAGCAAGTTTTATCGTTTTGGTTGATCTAACTATTTTCACATGTACTTTATAGTAAAAAACATATAGTAAACGCACAGTAGAAACTGCTTTTTTTATGATAATACGATATAATTTTTGCGACGTTGTGTAAATTTTTCGAGTTTATGATTATGTAAGGCCAACTATGATAGATATGCATTAGAATAACAAACGGTGCAATTCCAAATAAACCATTTTTGACAAATTACCATGTTTGACAATCATAATGCGATTTCACCGGATTAAAATTAAATTAAATGTGTATGTACATCCTTTGAGTTTCAAACTATATATGTATGTTTTCTCCTGTTCCTTTTTAAATAGATACGTTCGATCAAGGTTTTATAAAAATCGCTTAATCACTACGACCAGTCTATAATAGTATCAGTCTTAGTTCATTTCCTTTTTGCGTGTGGTTACACGACACATTCTTGAGCAAACCGATCATTGTATTTTATGCTTTTACTTTATTGTTCCTAATAAAATTAGTAAGTTTTCTAATGAACTGCATCATCTCTTCATAAAGAAACAAGAACCACCTATAAATTTTATGCGGCTAAACCAGACAAGACATTTTGTCAAAAAGAAATAATTTGATACGTACAAAATAAAGACCGATAATTGTTTAATATTATGTACATAAATTATGTATTCATACTGTGAGCGGGTAAATTGTTTTGAATTTGCACCGTTTGTACCGACAGATGGCAATCTGTAATCGAAATATGATTTATAAATATACAAAAAGATGACGCCACTTATCATGAACGGTGAAATACGTTACGATTACATTTAAACTAGTACGAAGTGTCGTGAGTCGCGAGTGAGGAGCCCTTTTACAATTACTAGTTTTAAATAAACTATATAGAAGATAGTTTCACAAATTCTGTGAGGTGAAATTAAAGCAGTGTTTCAACACAATTCGAACCCTATGACACTACTAAAAGTTTTAGAAATCTCGACATAGAAGAATCAAAACTCTTCGAAATCAAGAGTACAATTCCAATGTATCAACACGGACTTCGACTTTTTATTCGAAACGGTCATCGTCTTTCAAAAATCGAAGTGATTCGATGCGTACTACTGGGTATGCGCGTAAAACGATTTTACGCAGAAATAGCCTCTTCCTAAAGCAGGTATTGCATGCTATCGATCACACGATCTCTTCTTTTAAATTCGCTAATTCCGTTGTCACATCGGACGTCCCGTTCGGTTCCTTCGAATCGAGTAGTGAACTATAGTGAGTGTCCATTTCGTTCGACTTGCACGAGAGTCGCCGGTTTGTTAAGAATTGCAACTTTTGACTTGTGATGTCCGCCGTGGCCTGCCACTGTTGAGGTAACAACGATCCTTTTGTTTGGAACAAAACGATCTTGTGGACACCGAAAAATATAGCGACCACGGCGGCAAATATTAAACCGTATATCCCCACTTTCTCCACAACTGGAAGGGCGTTCAAATAGAGCCAGAAGCGAGTGTTCAATGATGCTGGTAATTCGTACATTCCCTAGAAAAAAATATTTCAATTAGTTAGCTTAATTTTAATTCAAACTTACAAATTCTTAATAATATTGTGCTATATTATACATATACATGTATATAAAGGTTAGTTTTTGAGCGTCTATCGAGTTGCTTATATATTCAACCCGCCATTGCCGTGCAAGTAATTTTGAATTATCCACACGTAATAATTTTAGAATCAATTTTGCCATTAGAATTTACGAAATGAATTGAAAAGGTTAGACAAAAGGTGGAGTTTTCATTATAATTTTTTTAAATAGATAACATTGACACTCAGATATATTATTAAGTGTGCCATTATATGTGAACAGTGGCTGTACACATATGTATACATATACATATTATGCAGTTAGTCCTGAGCGCCTGTTGATAGGCAACCCGTTTTCACCTGTGCAAGTTGTTTCGAATCATGCACATATAATAATTGTAGAATACCATTTATCATTACAATTTACGAAATAAACTAACAGGGACGAATCCTTACCATAATTTTATTAATTAGGTAACACCGAGACTTAGACATACTATATATTAAGCGTTTCATTACATGTGTACAGTATAAACGCGACTTTAGATGTACCGATATTAAATATATGTTCACTGCATCGACGTATCGATAAATTTCTATATAATATCAAATATATTTACGTACAATTTCAAACCACAGGAGCGGTAACACGAAGTTCTCGAATTTCTGGACCCTGGCCATGTGACCGATATTTTGCAAGGCCATATTTATTTGGAATCGGAAGGCAAGGTTCACCGGAAGTCCCGACTTGGGTTGAACATAGGCGTACGACTCGTGCAGATTCGCCCTCGGATTCAGACCCTCCACAGCTTCCAAGATCCTTGGATCCGTTTTGTAAAAGTGCGGAAAAGACAGAGCGATTGGAAAACCTGAAGAGAACACGTAAAAGTGAGTTTCTTAATCCTATTACATCGATTCTGAACAACTTATATTAACTAGTAGCTGGAACATCGACGCGGCTACGCTTTTCAGTTTGTTTACACGAGCAATTAACAATATTGCTGGTTACATGCATTATGCACCGTGGACGCGATAATGAAGTCTCCTAACGCAGTAATTGTCCCGTGCACTTGTAGCCAGTTGATGAATTTTTTTTCCACCGTTTACCGCGACTTGCGAATTGCGTTTCATTTCCATTGACGCGATTCAACTCTCGAATATTCCCGTGAATCGTGACGGATCATGCGCGAAGTTTATGAAGCGTAACAATGCGGTATACGTTAATTTTATCGAAATTCTCTCGATTCAACTTGTAACAATAATTTAAGATTGTGCATAACTGTAGTGCTGATTGGACAATGTGCTGATTGTATTTTATCCGTGCAACTTGGCAGAGTAAAATCGTGGTAAATGATACAATCAACTAATATACAGTGTACAGAGTATTACTTTAATTACAACGTAAATTCTTAATATATAATTTCAAAATTCTTTGAATTCTTCTGTTTTTATAGTACGTGTAAATGTTATGACGAAGACCCAATTAACAGAATACGTTGTAATGCGAGTCAATTCCCTGATTGCTTAGAATTTTTCTCCGATCGTTCGATTATTTCAATCGTCTACAACTGCATTCGCTGTTTTGAACAACCGTTCAAATGAGAATTGCACAACTAATAATTCGTTTCAGACACATGATCGTCGGACTCTGTAGCGCAGTGTAGTATATTGTTTACCACGTGTCTTTAAATTTTATTTTTTTTCATTTTGTAACTGACTAATAATAATAGATAATAATAGTAAATTGTCTTACCATAATAGCAATCGGTAACGTCGATCAAGCCAGCTTGCAAGCAATGCCCTTTACGGCAGAAGCATTTGTTCTCCGGATTGTAGACGCCATTGTCCAACTGATTTTCGAGGAATTTATACTCGTACGTGTGTAACCCGTTTATGAACTTTTCCCCAGTTCGTCCCTGTAACATGTTTTCGATAGCACAAATTATTTTTTTGAAACAATTTCAACTAAAACAGTATGACAATTAATTAGGTCTTCAATAGCTGAGTTAACTGGAAACTCTATCGTCGCTGGGAGAACAATATATTGTTTACTGTCTATTAACAGATACCAGGCAATGTTCTTCTATTAATTTCTATCATAATTTATTGTTTATTCTGTGTTATAGGATCATCGATAATATTCTTCTTTCAATATTCATCGCATAAAAACTCGTTCCTAACTTTAAGGTTATATTTAGTTCCCATCGATTCAGATTAATAAATTCAATCACTCAAAATTGATTTCGCTGGAACAGTATCCATGAAACCAAAGTTTCCCGCGAGTTTCTCTTTTTCCACCGAATCAACAGTAAGCAATAAGAGTGTACACCTTCACAAGGCAATTGTCAAACCGTATTTCGAATTAATTCTTTCATTGGCTCGATCGAATCTGAATTTTTGTTGAATTCTTGGAAAGAACTGATGGACATTTTTATGATCCCGGCGGAATTCGCCAAAACAAGTTCGTCTCGGTTGGGGGTCAGATATTTCTGGTATTAAAGTTCAACGTACCATATAAGCGCTACGACAGAGACTTTTTCTGTAGAAAAATATAGTATCGTTCGGCTGTATGTAACTGGGGAACTTGACCGCATCGCTGGCACCGTTCACATTCGCACACTTTCCTGTCCATTGCGGCAGATTCACGTTGCCGTTGTACTTATCAATTAAGCCCGTCAGACGGACGTCGGTTTCTCCTGTGTAAACGGTTTCGAAATCACCGTCAAAATCGTACATCTGTGAGCAGAAACACGTTACGTTGAAATACAAAAAAATTTGGAAATATTTCTATGAACTTGCAAAGAATGTCAGTTCAACTCGAGACACATTATCCAAAGAGTGACATTCTTCGAAGGATTTGAAAGATTTTCTTTCATTATTATGAATTATAATCTTATTACGAAGTACAATCTTTGTAAATTAAATGATATCTAACGTGGTAAGAATTCTATATTTATCATAAATTCGTTTATAATTTTTTCTTTGTCTATTCCATTTTCTTCATAATCCAATTTTCAATTTTCTTGTAAAATAGTGTACTTGGATATGTTCTTAGATCATATGAACAGAGTTCTGAGAAGTTGATGAGAAAGTACACGGAACTAAAGAAACATCTACTTACTCTGTCGATGAGACCCAGTTTATCGAATTTGATCCAGGATGGCATCATATTGTTGCCTAGCGTGACAAGAGTGGATTCGTAACCAAACATAAATTCTCGAGCCGTCATTCTCACTAGAGGTTGCGTGTCTGTGTGGAGGATCAGCATGTTTAGACCAAGCCTGGTGATATACGATGCATCCCTCATCACATTTGTGATACTCTAAAACAGGATAATTGTACATCGAATCAGCCGTTGCATTGAATTCTATAAATTCTGTTTCTTAGATTTCCAGGGGCTGTAACATTTGATTTCACTTGTGAATAGCTGTAAATTTAAATTAACCTACGGAAGATGAACATTTTGGATGATGAAATAGACGGTCAGTACTTAGATCCAGATGGACCCCTAATTATTATCTGTCTTTAGAACTGTTTTCAAACAAATATTCTTCAACATAGGGGTTTTATCTTTGTTTTTTTCTTACCAAATTTCAAATAGGTCTTTTTATGAAAGGCTAACATAAATTGTACGCTCCAGTTAGTTTTCTAAAGCTGGAATGGTGCTACGAGTTTCTGAAATCCCAGGTCAAAATGGATCCAGACACTGTCGTAACGAGAATTGAAACGATCTAGATATGAAAAACTCTGTGTATACAAACTTAATCCAAACTCGAGAAATGCAAATCTGGACCCCAGAGCCAGAGTGTATTAAGTACACTTTTTTAAAAAATATATTTTACATGTTTTGTGTAGTTTTTAATATAATACTTTACAAGTGATATTAAGTTCATGTCTTGTTCTCAGCGAAACAGTGTAAATTCCATTAGATAGGGGACTTAATGCAATGTTCAGCATTTCTACATATCGCGACTTGCTTTAAGTCCATCCAATAATTCGAAGGTAGTGATTGTTTCTCGTTGAATTCTTACTGAATGGTTTCAGAATTACAAGGTATTTGCACCTTTGGTTTGTTCTCTTCTAAAATTTAAACAGTGTAATTTAATACACTTTGACTCAGGTGTCCAGAAATTGAAAAGGGATTTAAACGGGACTCATTCCTGGTCATATAAGTGGAACAGGTCCAGTATTCCTCAGACACGTGAAATAGGGACCGGTTCAGATAAGACAAGTAGAATAGGACTGGTTAGTGGTTAGACACGCTGAATGAGGGCTTTGCATCGTCATTTAAGTAGAACAGAACAGTTTATTATCAGACAACTAGAATATGGATTGTCTGTTAGCGTGGTTTCTTAGCCCCAAGTTAGTTCTATTTGAATTTTGTGGACTTGGATGAATCAAATTCGAGTCTTTCACTCCTGAATTGCTTCAATTCGAGTCTTTCCATTTCGGAAGGGTTCGATTCATGTTTCTCTGTCCTGGGTGGATATGATTTCAATTTCAATGTATCCAATTCGTGATTTTCACTTTGAAGTTGTTCTAACTCCCGTCTGTCTATTTTTTATTAATCCTGGTTTGTTATAATTTAAATCTTTCAGTGCTGTGTTACTCGTACTGATACTGTGCTTACTTTCACTTATGAAATTTAGGGGGTCATTATTATTTTTTTCTCAATATAATTGATCTGTATTTATCAGTATGACCTATTGCTAGCAATGGAAATAGAATTTAGCATATATTCATAATGTATGAAACACCTAACCATTCCAAAGGGGAAACATTGTAAGGGGCAATATCATAATTTTGTACCAATCTTTCTATACATTAGTCTGTCTATTCTTATATCATAATATCTTACAAAACCCCGTACATTTTCAGTCACAACCAAACGTACTTTCAATACACAGTTGTTAATATCAGCAAGAAAACAGTCCACGCGACTTCTTCGTTACTGTCAATTAATCGCTCCCGTTAAAAAATACCACACATATCCTGCGGGGCTAAACGCCTCGCTTAATTAGCAATTATTCTCTTATCACGTAACGTTAAAGGGGATCCCCTCATTTGTGTCCATTGTTCCATCTCTTGTTATCACTTCTCTGAAACGATTTTATTATTACCTACGTTCCATTCTGCGACGCGCGTCCACGTCGAACGATTCATCGCGCGTCCCTTGTACGTGAAAACAAAGCGATTCTTGAACTTCCGAAAGTTCATTGACGTTGTTATTATGGGCATCGAGCATCTGCTTGCTACCGTGCGCCAGTCGAGGATCCCGTACACGCTTTAAAGTCAACATTTCTATCGGCCGTCATACATATGCATGCGTAACTTATCGACACACACGTGTTACATAAGGATGCACTTCGGGAATTATGCCTGGCTTGGCCGCCATCGTTCGCTGTGAATGACCAGCGAAGTGCAACCGGGAAACGCGTCTTCGATTCGTGTATCCACGATTCGTTCGACGACACTTCGCTCAAGTCCCCGTCAATGGGGCAGCAATAGTTAATCACTTTGCTAAACGACGAAGACTATCTATAAATAAACACACGATGACTTCGCCGCGTCTGATTTGCACGGTTACAGTGGTTCTGGAAATTCACAATTTTACGAAATTGATATTCAAAAATCTCAAGTACAATCTTGCAGAGTTATTACGAATATTTTGTTCAAACGATGACAACATGGCCTCATTCGAAAAAACTAGCACCATTGATGATACTGAAGGAATTATCTGTAAAAATTACATACCTTACAATTAGTCGAAAACACCTGTTATTTTCTAATATCTATTCATAATCTTTCTTAAATTGTAATCACTCATTTTGATTGTTAATCTGATAGACGATATTAATCTATATTTATTATAAATATATTTAAGAAAGATTTTGAACAGATAATACAAAGTGACACGCGTTTTTGACTAAGATACGTAATTTTGGCAGATAATTCCCTCGGTGTTATCAATGCTGCTAGATTTTTTTCTACCAAAGCCATGTTGTTATCGTTTGAACCAAATATTTCTGATAGCGTCGTAAGATTATATTGGACATTTTTGAATATCAATTTCGTAAAACCGATGCCACGGAAGGTACATGGTACGGAATTTTACGGAATTACGTTGTTACGTAACATGGCATTTTTCACATAAACAACGACGGAAATCGGCGATTAAAAGATTGAAAAAAGATGTTCATATGTCATTCTGCTTTTTTTTCTCTCTTCCCGGGAAACACTGTGTTCTTGGACATAAACATGATATACATGTTTGTAATCAATGGGTTCGTCACTGCATCCCTGTCGTCCGATCCTGTCGATCAGAGATCTATCGGGTCGCATAATACTGGAAGTAAAAAGGTAATTGGACTACTATTAACCTTGATCGGTGACTATTTCATTAATCTCTAATTGAACGTTCGAGTCTGTTTTTTGGACCGTCATTTCGTGATGGCACGTTATGACGTTCGAATGAAGTGCCTGTTTTTAAATTGGAGCAATGAAAAGTACAAAATCTGATTGAGTATAATACCGTCACGATAAAATTCTTTGCTTGCAATATGAAATTAGTTCTGAAAGGGACAAAAATTAATCATGTGTCAATAGCTTTTGAAGTGTTCTCTACATAAAATTTACCTATAGGTAAAAAGAACAATAGCAAGAAAAGTCTGTTGGATAATATAAAAGTACAGTGTAGAGTAACATTTTGGTATTTACCTCACGTTCGACGAGCTTTTTAGAGCAGGTAATGTTTGTGGTGAACTAAAGTGAAATTTTCAAGTATAACTGGAGATGAATATTAAGAAGTGCCTGTATTAAGTTCGGAGTGTAGCATCTTTTTGGAATATTTCATTTTCGTTATATTCATTTACAACCGTGAAGGGGCTGGTACTTTGTTGTAACATTTTCTAATGTAATATTCCATTTTGGAGAATATATCCTTTCAAGATTTACCTTATACATTCGTTCGTGCGTACAATAAGTAGAAAGAGATAGTCATAAACAGTCACGTCAGGCAAATCTTATGCTTTCTCGGTGCAATGATACACTCGTTAAGAATGTCCTTCGTGCATCGAATGGAAATTTAGTGTAGATCCGTGACGAACCGTTTTTTTTTTTCAACTGTAGCCGTTCCCAGAGTTACTTCCAGGGAAATAAAAGTGTGTCATGCTTGCCGTGTGTCATATTTCGCTAGTTCTCTCCTGCGTACATGGGGGAATTCTTACTCTACTCCTTGAATAAAAGAAAAAAAAAAGAATCGACACGCAGATCGATTTAGCACGTTAGAACATTACCAATGCGACACGTTATGTCACAGTTATCAGCTTTATTGGTTTTTTCACCTTTTATTTTTTCCCCTGTCCGCGTGATCCATAAAAATAGGATAGCTAATAATTTGCCTGCGTAAGAAATACAAAATCCAGTCATTGGATATCGAGAAATCTCTGTAAAATCAATAAAAAAAGGATGATTGATGTTATGGTAAATGGATGTATCTGATTATTTGTCTTATGGAATCAGTAAAAAACAAAGTTGTTCGATACTAATGAACGGATGTGCCTAATTATTTCACTTGTAAAATCGGTAAAAAAAATCGTTGACTAACGTTGTTGAACGAATAGTATACATTTGTTTTATAAGTAAAAAATCACACTTCCGTGTGAAATAGATCACTTTTGTTTTTTTTCTTTCCGCTGTGTATCTATTTTTTCTGTGATGCGATGACGACTTAGTTGTCGTTACTATTATTCTTTTTTCCGCTGGACCACGTTGCATTGCTTTTATCCGTCTCGGCTGTTAGTTAATCGATTGCGTCAGATACGACAGGCACGCAGCACGTTTCCGTGTACGTACAAATGACCGATAAAAAGTATCAGAAACGTGAGTAACTTCTCCCTTCAGCAACGATCGCTGATTGCAAAATCGTTCACCGTACTTGTAGGCTCGCGACAACAACGGTTATAGGCTGTATTCCCAAGATATGTACTCGTTTCCTTGTGTTCGTCATTCTACATTTTCTCCTCTTGAATGTTGAGTACTCAAAAAAATGACACGAATTTAAACAAAATTATGACATTTCATCTGTCATGGCGACTGGTGTAAAAAATCTATCTACCGAACAGAGAATCTTCACTTCAGGTTTTCCACTTCAGGTTTTCCTAAATACAATTAAGACGATAGGGTGATTTAACGAATGATCAACCCTTTAACGCCCAGTCCCTTAAATCGTTATTTCAAAATTATGAGACTGAGTTATACCTTGTATCTTGTTATGTTGAAGTCGAAAATGTCGATATTAAACTGACCAATTTTTTTTCATTTCTTAAACATTTATTTTTGGAGGGAATATTTGAATTTGTTAATCGAAAACGTTGAGATCTACTTCACATCAGTGGAACTATGGATCCTTGCAGGCAAAAGTTAGATATTAACACTAGAACTACCAGCATTAACTATATACCAAGTTAAATTGTGTAATATATTCATATGTGTAATATATGTATAATACAATACAGCTTAGTACAGTGTAATATAAAGTGCATAAGAAATTAGAAGTCAACATAAATTTCGATGGAAGTATTTCTAGGATTTCAGTAATTGTAAAATAAAAAATCTGAAATCCGTCATTTTGACAGGTTCGGTAGGTCAAGTGTTAACCGACGGCAGAATTTGACGAACTTTTAAAATCAGCGTTGCATCGGTGCAACGCTCGGCGTTAAAGAGTTACATACGATTGAAACAGTACATTTTCTGAAGTTCTTAGTAATTTTCGTCGCAATTGGTAAACGATAAAATGTCTAGAATTCTACATTTTTATAGCGTCATATATCTGTCAATGTTTTAATCTGATAAAAATGTTATGGTTGTACGTTCGTCGTCGGTAGTTTCGAACGTCGAAGCCGGAGATCACAATTCGTCGACGGTGGTCATGAATATTAACATTTCGTTTGAATGAATAATCAAAAACGCGAAATCGTCGTGGCACAGTCAACAAAATTCAGCTTCCCGCGGAAATGGGAATGCTGTCGTGACGGTAAACCGATCCAGTCGTTCGTCCCTGCGGAATCGACGACTCCGTCGCGATTTCTCGTCATTACCGTCCGAGATCTAGTCGACCGTGCGTATGTGCGGAGTCGGATCAGTAATACCGTGTTTTCCCTGTTCTTTTTGCCGTGGCCGGTTTGCAACCTGCTCCCATAAGCGAACCTTGAGCCCCGTGATTAGTAACCGATTCCATTGCTGCGACGATGACAACACGATTCTTTCGTTCCTCGAAACTCCCGTTCGAACAATTCGAAATTACACAGGTTATTTGAAAAGTTCTCGAAATCAAGTACAGATGACGTTGGTAGCCCTGAAATTTTTAGTTAGATTTTTATTGGTTGCAGGAATAATTAATGCATTAATGTGTTAAGGTATTAACACCGGTACAGAGGAGTCTTCTATTTCTCGAAATTTTTTTACTGGAACAATGTTTTTTCTTCATCCCAACTATCTACCATTACAAATCGAATATTATTGTATTAAAGGATAAACAAAAAGCCTGTTGCTGCCTTTTAAAATCACGAAAAAAGTAATGGCGTACTCACAGTCCGTTTCCTTAAGGGTTAATATTCTGTAACTTTTTAAAATCAATATTTACTCATTTTTTTTTTAATAATATAATTTACTCTAATTTTTAATTGTTCCATCTCCACTAGTTTCTAAACTGAGGAAATTCCGTTTAAAGTGCACGAAGTTGAATATTATAGAAACAGGAAAGTAGTGAAATAATCAAACACACTATGATATCAACTTCTAAAATTTGATCTTATTGTAGTGTGCATTTTTAAGTGTTGTTAGTAGTTGGAGATACAACCATTAAGAAACAAAAAACTTTCAAACTTTCGAAATTGGGACTTAAAAAAATATTTGTTATTTTTTCGGATGAATTTTCTTTATATTATGGTGAATTTGTATTCTTTGGATCAATGGGACGCATGCAGATTGATTAACTACATTTTGTTTAAGAAATGAGTTAGAACAATTAAGAACTCGGGCGACGATATGAAGGCGTTATAGCGTGTTAAGATAGCGCCGGCGCGTGTAACATCCTTTCGCCGCTGGCGAAAGGAATCTCGGATCGCCGCGTCCGTTACCCCTGTAGTCATCTTCGATAAATTGTTGACCTCGCACACCGGCAGTCGCGGTTGAATGCCACGGAACGAGATATCGACACGGGGCGTTCATTCGATTGTTTCGTTCGCGACGAGCATGGTGTCCGACGATTTTTCGAAAAAAAATATTATATGCTGATGATAGACGCTCGATAGCGTCGTCATTTCGAATTTTGTAACAGCCCTTTTTTGCGTCCCCGTGCGTAGCATTTATTTGCAGTCGCGATAAATGTTAAGGGGGTATTCCCACTCGGAAGGGTCAGAAAATCGTACTTTCAAATTGTATTTTCTTGAAGTATAACACCTTGAAAACATGTTCACAAAGTGATATGCTTCAAGTTATTGAAATGACGAAGTTATAACGATTTTAAGAAAACGATACACTGTAGAACCATTTCTCGCGAAACCAGACAATGCAGGAAGCGTTCGGCGGGAATCTGTGAAAGCATCGCGTAATAAAGTAAACTCGCAGCCTTCGTGTGCAACAAGGCTGAAGTAAACACATGGCGATTAATCGCGCCGTTTCACTGTGCTAGGTCACAGCTGTCAAGTGAACAGCGGTATAATTAGCGATTCCGTTGAATTGTTCGCGAATTATGGTTGTTAACTCCCCCATAAACGACACCCGTATCTCGCGCGGAGTGCACGCGATCACTTGACAGAAATCACCGTTGGATGTTGAAAAGTGAACAGGTATGCCAGGTTTTGCTTTCAACACTTTCATGCATTTTACAATTCGTTTTAGTCAACATTTGGTAAATTTGCAATATCATTTAGGATAATTGCTAGCGTTCTATGTATTTAGGTAGTTCCATATGCAAAAAAAAATTGAAGATATGGGAAACGATATGTTTAAACGAATTGTCGCTCTTTGAGAAAATCCACTTCGTGAATTTTTCGAGTACAGCAAGCTTCTAAATTAGATGATGTGGTTTTTCAGTAGTGACTATTTCTACTTATGGTAAACATCATTCTATCGCTGTTTGCTAACAGTTCGATTATTCTTTAGGATGTCGATTTACGTCCGATTAACCAGGAAAATAAATAATGGTGTATCGTTATCAGTGTTTATAAACATGAACCTGAAGTAATGTGTTATCAAACAAATGTGCGATTATAATTTGGTTGATAAACGAGATGTTTGTATTACAGTTTCTTTTTTTTCAATTTTGACATGAAAATCGTCCCATTCACGAATTACGCCTCACTGTTTTGTTCAGGGATAGAAAAAATATTTAAAATCTAATGTACACAAGGTGCAAGTTGTTGATTTTACCTAGGATCATGAAGATCATCGGCCCTTTTTTCGATAAACATCGATATATACTTTTTATTTGCTGGTAGTGGGTTTAGAACCAGTGTAGATCGAGTAATCTATAGTTCAAGATCATCCAAGATCAGCTTGGAAGAAAATCAGAATGTAAAGCTGTTATATACTTCCTATCGACTATACATCTTTCTTTCCACACGGAATTTATGTCAGATTGTTGCATCTAGAGATCGCATTGAATATTTTTTGTACTTATAAGAACTCAGGAAAGTGACGAAGACATTTACTTAAGTAATAAATCTCATTACAATCATAACTTCAAGAATCAATAACTTCAAGACAAAAAAACGTTATTCATTCTGACAATGGAAATTCGTGAACATTCACGTGCCACAGTTTTCATTTTGTTATTTTTTGCGTTTCTTACATTAGCATTAAGTTTTGAAAGTTTACTGGAAAGATTTCGCCGAGATTCTTCTCCTTACCAGTAATGAGGCTCCTTAATGATTCCAGCTACGATTAGCATACATCATACGATCGTAATGACGAAATTAAAGCGTGCATAATGGACACACACGCACACACACGCGTGAGAAAACGGAACTTATATTTTAACAGCAATCATGAATATAAATTTTTCGAACGGATTATAAAGATCAAGGTCGGTCATTTTGCTCACCAATAACGCGATGTTCGGTAGTATCAGAAAGTCCAGCTCGGTCCCGTTGCTCATTTCCCGTACGTAGGTCAAAGGATGATGAAGGTTCGCAGACACGGTGCCGTTCGTGTTGAATCTTACGTTCCCGTGTTCCAACGATTCCCTGAAATTTATTTAACGGAGGTTATCGTGACTGCGTCCTGCGATCGAAAACTATCCGATACAGAGGGTGACGTATAATAATATATGCCATAATTAAAGAATAATTAGTGGCGCCGGTTATCTAAAAATACATCCGAAAAATCGGGAATAAACGATGAATTTACAAATTCATAAGCCGTTTACCATCGAACATTACCTATTAATAGCCTTCATAAACAATAAATCTTCCAACCATTGGGGGGTATGAATTTCGTAAAATCAGGAAGAGAACTATTTCGGATATTTTTATTCCTGCTTATACAATGTATCATCTTTTTTTTCGATAACACCGTGCCACCCTGTGTATCAAGAAATAATTATTCGTATATATTTGTACGCTATTGAATATTTAAAATTGAATCTTTGGAAACCAGGAACAAACGAAAATTGTGTTTCTTCGACAGTGGTTACATAGCAATGAACCAGTTAAAGATTCTTCAAATCAAACTGATCACTGTCCACGAAATAAAAAATAACAAAAACTAATGATACTTTACGTATCGTTCGTTAAATCTTAACTTCTCGATAATAAACAAGTTATAACGTATTTAAAAGATAATATTAATTAAGGAAATATTAAATTTAAAATAATTCAGTATGGTGTTTAGGAGACTCGAATATAACGACATTGATCGAAGACGGAGCAAATGGGTGTGGGAATTCGACTCACTTGTAAACGTACGGACCGACTTCCTGGAATCTCAGCTTGCTCTCCTTTCCGGTTAGGTACTCCTCTGAATTGGTCACGTTGAAAAGAAAAACCTTCAGGTAGAGTTCGACGTCCGGTTTTCGCCACATCTCGAAAATCTCGCCGCCCGGGGTGAAGATCACTTTCAGCCTGAACAATAGCTCGTACGGTTGGAAGACCAAGAGTATGCAGCCGGTTGCCAGGCCGATCGACCCCAAAGTCATCAGCATAAAAATACCTGTGTGTTTCAAAAATAAAAGGCGCGACTTAATATTCCAGCCGACAAAGTTCGAACAGCCTATAAAATAGGCCATTTCGCCGCGTGTTTCCGTCACGTCTAAAAGTTATTGCTAAAAGACGCGAATTGAAAAAAAAACTGTTTGACCAATCAGCAAGAAAAATTTTTATTCGACCCGTTCGTGAGAACGTTTTGCAACCAGCGACCGCAACGAGACATTTCTCGTGCGATAATTCGAACAATACATTTTTTCGTCCATTTAGGGTAAAACTAAACAATACATCCCACTTTTAAAGAAAACGCGATAAAAATGATATTTTTCCGTAAGTTATCGTTTTATCTTTCTAATTATAGTCACTTTTAATTTCTGTTCGCAGTTACTATTTAAATATGATCGAAACGTAACTAAATGTAACAGAAAATAAATATTCTTTTGTTAACCTTAGGTAGGGCATTTGGTAATACAGTAACTCGGGTAAAATATCTGTCATATGACGAAACGCTCCTATATAACTAAGTCACTATTATTTTTAATGAGATATTATAAAGTTCTGAACAAAATAGACAAACAATAGAATTAGGGACAAAAGTAGAAGGATACTTAATAAAGTGAACAAAGTTGCATTTATTTAGTACTCACCGCGAATTGGTTATAAGAAAAAAAAGAAATTTTTGCATATTTTCCAAAGAAATGTAATAATAACTGAACACTTGAATAATCGAAGCGAATATAGAATTTTGAGTTTAGATTGCTTCTTGGTATACCTACACGGTCAAGAGACTCTTTTGGCTAGTTTTGTGTTCTTCTTTTGCAAATTTTCTTACAAAATAGTACAGTTTTTAATTCTTACAAAATGTAGTACTTAATCTAGATACGGATTAGCACAGTCTTCTTTCGTTACCGGAAACGTGGCGCTCGGCGCGGATTCGCGAATACACGGGCGTTTAATCGAGCGATTCGAAGGTGTCTCACGTAGATAGATCCTTGCCGAGTGTTATAACGATCGCCGTAATTCGAATCGGAGTAACGAGCTATTCAAACAGCTCTACCATCGAAATTCATAAAACTCGGCATACTTTTGCATTTGTGCAGGAATACATAAAATCTATTAAAGTAAACATTTTCAGGGGTATTTAATAATCCATGCAATTGTGTTTTTACGGAATGGAATATTTAATATGTTTCAGCCATTTTGATGTGGCTTTCTTATTTCTTTAATCTTCTTATCTTCTTTTAATTTTCCACGCGGTACACTATTTTGCTGTGATCATTATCTCATAGGAGAAATAAAATTTTATAGGTTCTTTGACGTAGTTTTTGATTCAATCGCTGGTAATTAACGAATTGCCCATTAAATATGCTCATTCCCGAGGCATTTACGTGTTCGCGCGTAATCGTTGGAATCCTTGATGGAATAAATTTATCGCGACAAGCAGCCAGCATATCGCGGAAATTTGCGGATTGTTATTTATCGAGTCAGTGGAAAAGAATCGTGTAAAAGCCTTGGATCGCCTTTGAGATTAGGAACGAAGGACTTTTCCGTTGCGATCTACATAATTCTATATACTAGTACCTTAGCGCGACTGATTTCATTCCTTTGTCGTTAACATTTCTCTATCGATACAGAAGCTCGATTCCATCAGGACTGATAAGATCGTTTTAGACATTTTTTCACAGTGTTTTGTTACGCAAGACTAGAATAACGTATCGAGTAATCAATTGTTTCGTATCAAACGTGGCAATGCTTTAGTACATTTTTTAAATTTTCACTGGAAATGAAGTTTTTTCTTTCACCACCCGATCCAAAGAACTATTTGTTTCTTTTTTCAGGGAATCGTTGGCAAATTTACACATTTCACTTCATGTATAAGATTGTGCTGTAAAAAATGGAAAATATTTCCATGAGTAACAGATGATGAGAAGAGAAAATTCAGAATACGGTTTTTTCATTATCTGCACATTCCAATGATCTAATTAAACAATAGCGATTGATAGTTAACGATGTCGAATGTCAACGTTATATGCTTTTTTGTTCCGATAAAACATTGATACTGACCGGTAGATTATGATGAAAGGAGCAAAAAAACAGTTTATGATATGCATATTGCCAATAAAAAGTGGAGTTGCTCTTTAGAATGTCGCGTGATTTTCTTGTGCAGAAATCGCTTTTATGGATATTACTGTTTTCAGTATAATACAGTCACTGTTGCATGAATTATTGTCGATTATCCGAAACCAAACAATTCCAATCTCGAACGTCAATTTTATTTATTTTAGAAGAAAAAATAACTTATAAGAAATCTTTGTGACTTTCAGTCTGGAACGATCAGTCTTAATTAAGATTATTTCTGACTTTGAAATATGTTATCAAGGTCACCCTTCCGAGTAACCTTCAAAAAGTTTAAACCGCCGATCATTGGTTATTGACAAGTTATTAACAAAGAAAGATTGAAAAATTGTACGGTAATTTTCCCAGAAATCTGAATTTGTGTATGTATTATAAAAATACTCTTCAAAGCATTGTACTAGTCTGAGTTAGTTAGAGCTAGTAACCTTTCGAAGATTATTCGGGAGGTTGATCTTGATAACATACATACTATGTCAAGGTCAGGGTTACTGGGTGTGGGTGCTTTTCGGAAGTTTATCCCTGTGCTACTCCAGTGATATGCATCTTCATTCTCGATGACCTTCCGTCATTTTTACGAAAAAAAAGGTTGAAGTATGTTCTGAATTCAAATGATGCTACAATTTTATTCCAACAAAATGGTGGATTACTTACTGCTTTACCGAATGCATTACTGAATAATTGTAAGTAATTGATAAGTAATTGATAAGTAATCGATAAAAAATCGATAAGTATTCGTTCAGTAATTGATAAGTATTCCTTCAGTAATCGATAAATATTCGTTCGGTAATCGATGAATATTCGTTCGGTAATTGATAAGTATTCCTTCAGTAATCGATAAATATTCGTTCGGTAATTGATAAATAATCGCTAAAGAATCGGTAAGTATTTATTCAGTAATCAATAAATATTCGTTCGGTAATCGATGATTATTCGTTCGGTAATCGATAAGTAATCGATAATACAGTTTCAAAAACGTCGAAGAATAGAAAAGTGAACGTGTACTTGAAAAGCGAGATTGACCAACGGAATTTCACGGTTCATCGCTTCATTCAGATCTCCGCGGGCTGTTTCTATTCAGTTCCCGCGCCTTTTTCCCACCGGTGCGATTCGCAAGGTGAATTTTCATTCGGCACGTGCCACGTAATTGTAGCCTCCTCCGTTGCTTGCCTGCAACACGTTGCACGCCCACACTGATTCATCGAGACACGGCCGAACGTATAACCGACTCTGCTTTGGTAACCGTTAAGTAATCTGACCGTAAATCATGCGGCATACCGATGCGTCACGGAAATGTAACCGCAGATAATCGAATCCCGCGGCGGAAAACAGAAATTCTATAACAAATTAACAGAGAAAAAGAAACAACAACAAAAACAGAGAAGCTCGATCATGATCCAGAACGATCCACAGCAGATTAACATCGCGCGATTATAATCGATTTACGTCGTTTGACGGATCTCTTCTCGCTTTACGATGAATCTCGGAAAATGCTAAATGAATTGCGCTTTTCATGATCGCGGAACCTGTTATCATCTCGTTTGCGTCAATTTGGCATATTAATGTTGCGCAATTTTACGTCCCCTACACGTGTTTCGTCGGACGACGGTGCTGCATAAGCGAGAAATTTATGAAATGGGACACACGAGAATACAGAAAAAAAAAAACGTTCTAACGATGAAATAATAATGCATTGTCGATAGTCTGCCTGGTTAATATCATCATCGATCTTGGGTAAGGACAACAAGATGTCGTTGGTTTGGTTTTGCAAGAGTTCTCGAAGAGTATATTGTTCGAATGGTACACGGAGTATGTTTTTGATGTCAGCGTCACAAGAATCAGAGATTATTTCCGAACATTCCCGTCGACGGACATTATGCCTTGATAGGCAGAGATGCTAATATCCCAAACCGGGATTCACGATTGACAAACCAGCCGGGCCGTGCACGTTTCGCAGAAGCGGTCGTTTTGCTCTCGACTATTGCACGATTGCTGGCAGTGCGGCACGATGATGTGGTAATAATTTTCCGACGGTAATCGGGACGCGACTGCGAATGCACTATCCAATAGAAAGTGCATATTTGCCATCCGTCGTTATATTTTATATCCGTGAAATCGCGACTCCTTTATGGATGTGTTGGACTCGTGAATTGCCAGCCTCCGTACGTGTACACGGAAGAGGAAATTACCAAATACTCTACGTGAAAACAATGTACGATTTATTGGCGTTTCGTAATGCATCCAGAATATTGGTTGGTCCTTAGAGGATTGTCGAAGATTAAACGGGCAGCCTATCAACGGATTATTCATGGACTAAGCTCGTGTGTAACCTAAATTGAACGTTCCAAGTTAGATGTGACTTCGTGAATTTGGAACTTTTATTCTGTGTAAATGATCAAATGTTTTTTTTAAGGATTAAAAATTCTTTGTAGGGAACAAATGTGTGGGAAGAAATTCATTTATTTTGATATTGATGTTACGAGTAATCAATAGATCAATGATTTGCAGTCAGAGATAAGAAAATTTAATACGTACTAATTAAAATTTACAAGGATTTTAAATGTCACTGTTGAAATATTAATCATTTTCATTCATCAATCTGTAACCAAACATGAAGCATTCGATAAACCTCAAATATGGGTGACACGTATATTGAAAAGAAGCTGGATTATTTAAATACTGTTAGAAAATTTTGCAACAACCTCTATTATCTGAACGCATCAATTTTCGACGATTTATGACTTGAAAAGTAAAATAAGGTGTGTCTGACTACGAACGGCCTTTTTCACTGTGGCAGTTAACGTCTTAGAGGGGATTCTCGTGTAACGGGTCCAAAAAATAAAAAGATTCTTTTTACATAAATCAGACACAACA